GAGCGAGAGAGCCGGAGGGCGAGAGAGCGGGAACGCGATAAGCGTGCCAGCGTGCCAGCGCGCCTGCAAGGCCCAAACGTAAACATGTGCACGCAGCGGGGCAGCGTTGGCGGCGAGGCTGGCGAGAAAATTCGGCAATATGCGACGTGAAACTGAGATGCGAGTCACTTTACGTCCAGATTCTAACGAGGCAAGTTGTGCCTCTCTTTGGACTCGTGCGCGTTAACTCGATCCTAGTCGAGATCTTTAATTTGTGAAATAGTGGCTTTTTCCTCACACGGTGAGCTTTTTTATGCCGACTATTTAGTTCTAACTCGGTTGTAATTGATTTATTAAAAGAAAAATATAATAAACTCAGTGTCCTTTTATTCAATCTCTCCCGCGCAATTGCTCACCCCTAACACATTCATTACGTGAGTGGCCATTGGTGAGCTCCATTATTCGTATAACAAGTCGATCGAGTGAAGCACTTGGCCATAAATAAAGTAACAACACCACTACTCAAAAACTACCATGCATACAAGAATCAGTAAACGGGATTAAGTTATACACACACGCGTCCAAAGTTAACAGTACAAGAGACCGAGAAAGCTTCGGTGATGCACTTGTGCGGTATAGAAAACTTGGTTTTAACTCTCGACTCGTCAATCACCGAAGTGCGGCTGCTGATCAGACTGCTCACATGCGTCAGATGGACGATGTTCGGCACGGAATTGGCACGCGATGTGCTTGAAGCCTGAACAAATTTCAGCATTAATTACAAGATCAGCGTCTGCTACCTCTTTGAAGACACGCGGCCAGTTGAAAGTTAGCCGATCGTTAAATTGGAATTAGACGTTGCTTTTACTGGCCGAAGTAGGTTACTTAAACTAAAGCAAATTTTGCGTCGTGCTAAGAAAAAAGCTCATTCTCTAATGGCTCATTCCAATTACAATTAATTTGATTGTCGGCATTCGCTTCAAATTTTCATCTAGCGCTATCGATTCGACGAGAGTTTCGTCTTTATTATACGAAATTAATTGAAAAATATAGCACTAATGGCCTCTTAGACCTATCGAACGAATCACCCCTTCTGTTACAAGAGCCATTATAGTGTTTACAAATTTCATTTCCTTTTTTCTTCATTTAATAATAATTGGAGTTGTGGATAATTTAAGGTCCCAAAAAACCGAGAAGTTAGAATAATTGTTATAAAAAAAATACATGCAAAGTTTTCGGTTACAGACGTGATTTGATTATAAACATATGCCTTATGTCGTTTGGGAATCTTTGGTTATCTCATCTTGAGATAGTATGTTACAATGAAAATTAAATCAATTACTAATTACGAAAAGGTACACGTTCGAATGACTGCTATTTACATAAACTAATACTGATTAGAAAGAAAAATATGCGCTGGTAGACCATTGGAAAAGGCAGTAAATTATTGCGTGCATCTATTTAATCTCGTGTTGTGTAAATCTAGAATTTCTCTATAATGGATACGAGATCCCAAATATTTCATCTAGTGATTGTGTAAACAGTAAGAGCGTACGCATACGTTGTCAATATATTGTAGAAGCCCGCGATTAAACATTTAAAGGCTTGAATAATGAATTACAGAGAAAAAAATGGCATCGTTGAATGTTAGCCGACCTTAATACGAAATCTTTGGTAACGCTGTCCTCGATCAGCGTAAAGAACGAAAGAAAAACGTTCTTCACGTTTCGTTAATAGATTTATTGACCTCCTCAAGAAAAATAAACATCCAACAATGCCGTGGGTCAGAACAAGTACATGTTTGTTCAACGACGGTATTACCTCTTATACATAATGTAACTTGTAACAGATACGTGTTTGTTCTGACCACAGCATTGTTGAGTCCGTACTTTTTTCTGCTTTTGATTATCCAAGTTCCGTTATCGAAATGTAAAAAGAGGTTTTACTGCTTTTCTTCGCACTGATTAAGAACAACGTCGACGAAGACAAGAATTGTCAAGCGAGAGCAACACATTCGAATAAACTTGACGCGAAATGTCATTTTTCCAAACGAGACGGGCCCGCACGCGAAAATTGCCTCCTTTTACCGACTCGCGCACGCTAATAACGCGTTGAAATATGATGGTAATGCGAACAAGCTGTAAATGTACTTCGAGCGGGAAGAGACAAGATATTTTTATCCGTATTGCTGTTTCGCGTGATCGATATTTGTCGTACACCTATCTATACACTCTAGTTTAACGCGGGCGTTCCACTTTATCTGGCACTTCCGCTACTTTACTTTCCAGTATGAAATCTTAATCTATTTTAACGACTCCTGACTCCATTTCCCAGAATTTATTAACGTCCCGTAGAATACGCTTTTACAGTCATCTCTGAACTATTTTCATGTTCCTTCGTATTTCATACATAACATCTTAATCAATCGATTCAGCATATTTAGACGACACAAATAAACAGAGCGTCATAGTGCCCAGAGTATCCCCATTCAAAAACTATACGTAGGTAGTGCCTGTACGTTTAATTTTATACTTTAATGTATTCATAGTATGCATTTACATAGTACGACCATCATAACCGAGTGTAGGTTTCAAAGCAACCCTTACAAATTTCGGATGGCCTTCCGCCTCCGTACGCGCGCTGTGGTGATGTTTATGCACATTGTTAGTGGAGAACTTGTCGCAGCAAAATGCCTGCGCAGAAGATAAGGAAAAAGAAACTTTCGGCATTTTTGCAAACGATAATTAGTCTCTTTCTACCTTGCGTTTCAGCTCTTTATTCCCCCAAAGTTTCGAGTGCGCATAATGACAATATCACTATCGCTTTCTTTCTGTATTTTTATCTGCTCGTAAAAGTTGCGTTGCGCTTGTTTTATCTCGATAAGAGAGCCAGTGCACCGAAATAAATAAAAGACCAAAAGTTCAAAGTAGGAACTTTTTTGCACCACACCATCCTTCAAGTCATTAGCGCGACGTAGCAAAAAAAACCCAACAGAACTTTGTACGGCTTCCTATAAAAGATAATACCGTCGTTCAATGATAAATAGTACGTGAACAATAGAAAGCTGCGTTTTTTATACTTCGGGAAATGAGGCTTGCATTGGATGTTGAATGGCTAAATTGTTCAGAATGTCACGCAAAGTTTAACGTAATGTGGCATCTTATAGTGCGAAATGACTTGGAAAATTCAACGCTATCTTCCGATGTCAAGTGAACGTGCAAAAGGCTTTTACGAAAATTGTTCTCGTGTCGTCGTCGAGGAAGGTTTATTTTCATGAAAAAATTTTGTTACCGAAAATCACTTTAGAAGTTTGATTAAGATTATCAGGGCTCTAAAAATGCAATTTTTTAGGAATATCTGTGTGTGCGCGCGCGCGCGCGCGTGAGTGTATGTGATATGTATGTATGTCGTTATCAATAACTCGCGTTCTATGCGGTAAAATTTGTAAAGCTTTTGGGATATTTTTTTTGGACATGTAGAAAAAAATGTATTCAAATCTATCGAGTAATTCGATCAAAAATCAAAATTATGTGATTTCGAAAAATTATGAAATTTAGGTTTTCAATTATTTTTGATCTTATACATGAGATTCGTTAAATTTTATGCTAGAGTTTTGTAGTCATTTTATTTTTTTTGAATTTGACGAAAAATCGTATTTCTAACTATTCCTATTTTAAGGTTACGTTGCAAAACGTTAAAAAAATCATATTTTGAAGAATAATGCATGACTTTTTTTTAATTTTACTAAAGATGTCTCATATAATAAATAAAATATCCTATAAATCTCAAGTCCTTGTATTGATTAGTTTCCGCAAAAAATCATTTTTTATCTAAAACTATACCTTTTTTGTTTTTACGATAACAGGAGTAAATGAATCGAATCGACTTGAAATTTAGTACAAACATTGCTTATCGCGAAAAGTGAACCGAGTTCTTTGTACAAATTATTCGGATCATTGATTCTCAAGATATTGACTGCAATCGATTGTTTCATTTGACAAAGCTTCATTTTTAAACTTTAAAATGAGAACTTCCACAAGCAGCTTGGTTATATATAGCTTGAGCTATTCCAAATTAAAGAAATGATTTTTCTGTTTGTAAAATAATATAGAATCCTTTAACGAGAATAACGAAAACTTTTGACTAAAATCGAGTTTTTTATTGTTTAAAAATTCTATTTAAAGTTAACAATAACAGCTTTAAAATGAGACCTCGCACAAATAATTTAATGATTCGAGTTATGTAACCTAAGTTATCACAATTTAAAACATTAAAAAAATATCGGTGTCGGTGTCGTTGTTTTTCCTTATTTTCTAACATTTTTTCTGCACTTGAATTAATGTTAAATCAGCACAGTTCATGATGTATAAATGAAACAAGCGATATGTTATGAAAAATACTGATTAAATAACGACATACCTTGGTTAAACAAAATAATACGACATGAAATGTAAATATTATAGATGGAATAGAATAGATGATTAATGGAAGTCATATAAAATAAATTAATGAAAAAAATAATATAAAATCAAATTTATAAATAGAGTATAAATGGAAAAAATATCTATAAAAAAAAATTAGATATTGAATTAGTTGTCCAGGAAGTTAACATACAAAGAGTTGGTAGTGTTTTTAAAAAGTTCAGACGTAATTCAATTCGCTGCAATCTAACTGGCGCATTACTTTATAACAACATGTCACTTCGTTCAGTGACCGTACACTATATCGACTAATACATGTTCGGAACAACAAATATTATCATTATACAAAGATGAAAACGAGTGAGAATAATACATCGTGAATTTTCTCATGAACTAATCGAGTCATTACTCTTTTTCATCGACTCTAATTTACAACTATAGGATCGCATCAACACTGACGGCCAGTATTCTACCGCACTTGGAAATGAACATATTCGGAAGAACTTGGTATCAATAGAACGAATCAGTCCCTCGATTTGTCCGGCAGTGGTATATTGAAAGATTCTATCACGAGGAAATACAAAAATAGCCAGCACCAACCTGATAGAAGTAGAAAGGATCAATGTCCTCGGTGACGTTGGAATTCAGGATAGCGCTCATGTTGGTTACAGCTATCATCTCGGTAATGTAATAGTCAATAGCTGCGGCGTTGAGACCCGAGTCGGCAATGCTGCCGAGGGCAGTTTCGCGGCCTTCCCTCATCTCTTGCCCCACATTGCCTGACCGCTTGCTCCTCGCCGCACACTTTTCTTGCCCTTTCTTTCGTCTTTTTGGTCAACCTGCGCATTTGTTTTATGGGCTTCATTAGTCGCGGCTGCGTTTGTTTCGGAAGAATATCAGAAGAATATTTCGCGCCAGCGTGACGTTTAACGACCGACAAACGATAGATAAGAAGAACCGCGAGTCGTCCGATAATCCTCACCTCGCTTAGACGGCCGACGAGCGATTTCTTTCAGTGGCTCGTAGCTTCGTTCGTGGCGGTTGGCATCGCGCGCACCTGCACTCTTCCAGCTCAGCCATTAGCGCGCAGCGGCGGCAAAGGCGATATATATATCCGATGGCTCTGATGGCTACTCGTTTTCATCAAGAGTGGCTGTAGTGACGTCTTTGGTGGAGATGCAATCAGACGCTCCCAAGCCGTTTCTTCGCTGAAATTTCAAAGGGTTTACGAGGTGTTAATCGCAAGCCTTTTCCCGGATATCCCGTTAGCTCCGGTAAACGGATACTTTATTTATCTCTTTGAGGCGTACGTAAAGTTATGATATCGACCGATCACCATTGATACAGTTATTCGACGAACAGTTATTAAATTAAAGACGCTTTCATCGTCAAGTTGAAAGCGTACAGCTTGGCTTTACCGCATACTTTTTTTCGATAATTGTTGTAATCTGCGAAAATTGAGATTTACTAGTTAAAACTAGTGGATTTTCACAAATTAAAAAAGTAATTGACTGATTATGTTATCTGTGGTTAGTTATCCCTATGTTCGTTGGTGAATTACTTCAGAATTAATTCATCTTTTTCAATTGTCGTTGCAAACACATCTTTAAACGTTTCTTTTCTATCTTTATAGCGGTTCGCTAAAATTAGTTTCTATTCGGACCGCTTGTGACATTTTGATTAAGAACGTGATAAAGGATTACTTAAAAACGACCGCATTTGCTATTGTCGCCTGAATGCATTGAAACGATGTCCCGAACCATGCAAAATACGCGACAAATGCTTTCAAAATATTGAAATGATTTAACGCATCGTCAATTCCTTCTCTTCAATACGAGTTTTTTAAATGATTCGGAATAAATCTTGTGTTCTCGAATCGCTAATTATAAAAATAAGCTGTGTAATTCACGAAGATTGATGAAAACCATGTATGTAAGTTTTACTACAAGATGTAATCATGTAAACAATCCAATATTTTTTCCCATATGATGCATATTTACAATATTTCATTAAAAATTTTCTATTTTTGCAAAATAAAGTATCTTATAATGATAAGTAAAAAAATAATTTACTTGTATTTTCGATAGCTATTCGATAACTATGTACTTGCATTATTTTAATCTTTTAAATGGCTGTAATGTATAAAGATCGACGGTTCTTTAGAAAAAAATTAACAAGCAATTTGTGAATAACAATGTTAGATATTTGAAAAAAAGGCAATATTAAAACAGACAGCTATAATTATCGTTGTTATTTGATGTGAAATAACAATATTAATACAAACTGACGCATTATTGATTTTGCTTCGAGTATCTTTATAAATAACTTTTTTCCTCTAAACATTGTTATTATGATTCACAAAGAATAATTATATCTTTACCTTCTTATTTTTAATCTGTAACAAATATAATAAACCGGTACCATTTGAAAATGGGCAAGCAATTGCACTATGTCTTTCTTACTTTTGTGCTTTTGTGTTGCTATAAAAAAATCGTAAATGTCTGCGTATATAACGTACGAAACGCTTTTGTTTTGCTGCGCTCTTTGTAAATAGATATAAACTAGATTTTTTAACGACTCTGGACGTATTCTATAAATGTTATCTTCCCAATAAATCGGCAGGATACATAATACGCTACGAAATGGCAAAAACGCTTATGCGTGATTAATTTATAGTTTTTTTTTTTAATGTGAAACTAATTCAGTGGAAGCGCGTCCTATTTTTATCAACAACACTCTTAACTACTTGTCGTTTAATTATAAATAATAATTTGACCTACAATCATTTATTAATAACAAGGTGGTAATCGACTGAAAGAAAAAATGTCCTATGTGAAAAATATTGATATGGTTACTTAATTTCAAACGAGATTAAAATAATGCACGAGTCCCAGATGTTTGCACATAGCGGGTTACTTGTGCTGCAATGTCTGTCACTAGACCTCCCATCCTAAATTCTATTTAAGCGTTGATTCGGAGAAAGACACATATCTTTAGATTCTCAATATGTGTTATAAATTTTGTTTAAACGAATTGAATTAAATAAAATTATACTGTTATAAGCTGCTCCCTGGATATCAAACATATTAAGAACAAAGGCGTCGTTGCTGTTGTTTTGTTAGTTGAATCTGGTGATTAATATGAGAATACGCGCTTAGTCTGTTTTTCATTAATAAATATATTTGAGATCTTTTGTAATAAGTTGCCGTGTTATTTATTATGACGTAAGTGTATGTGTAACAATTTATTTTTAATATTAAAGTTGTTCAATTTAGTAAACAATTGACGGTATGAAATATATTCCGATTCAATGAAATAGGCAAAACATTCATTGAAAAAGAATTCTTTGACTTCATTTTTCTCATTGAAAATTATGAATAATGGAGGAAAATGAGGAAACAGTTCGTCGAGAAGTGAATAACGATTGAATAGTTGAAAGAAATTACGGAATAATTAGATCCCAGTAAAGCTGGATGAGAAAATAGTATATTAAGCCATCTGGAAAACTGTCCATATGGAGTTATTATTTATTGACCCTTATTTTTCTGATAACGTGATTTTCTATATTCTACTTAGTTAAAATTATATAACTAACGAGCATCCTAATAGAGGAAAAAGTGTCAAACTCTCTCAACGAATTAGTTATTATTGAAAATCATAACGATAACTTAACGATCGCAGTTTGTAAAGTTGATTACAATAATAACCGTTAGTGTAAAAGTATTTCTATTGAATTTGTTGTAGTATGCTAGGAGAGCATAGTTTGTACCGCCCTATACTGTGGATAAGCCGCAACGAGAATTTCCGCTATTAACAATGGTACAATCACGGATATAATACGTTGGAGTTACCTGCATGCGCATGCTCATCCCGATTCAGCGATACATAGCTATTTATTTTATAGTTGATCGTAAGTTATGGACAAACAGCGTAAAAAAAAAGAACAACCGTTATACAGACATTTGAACTAGATACTCGTATTATGACACTCAAACGTCATCGTGAATTTCACTCAGCGAAGTATACGTGGTGCTCAAGTAAATCTTCAGCAGCGAAGGAGAAAGAGCGTAAATTTAATTATTGGAAAAGTCTAATATGCACGAACTTTCGTAGCCTTGTAAAAAGTATATATTTTGTTTAAGTAAACAGTTTCTTTTTGAAAAAACTCTTTCACAAATGAAAAACTTAATTAAAGTGGTTGCTCACAACAATATGATGTTCAGCGAAAACACGATTGAGATGATTCAATCCCGGTAGAAACGGTATTATACTAATGGTAAAGTATCCGGCGCACTTTACGCACTGCATTATTCAAATTCCGACATCAAAAGTTACTTAAGTGACTTATGCCTTGACTATTTAATGTCATAGAATACACTGTGTACTTCCTACAAACTTGCAACATTTCTCTCTCTCTCTCTCTCTCTTTCCACCTTGACTTTACGAGTCCAATGTATATTTGTTCTTGCTGAGAAGGCGCGCCGCTACTGAAAAGTACACAACGCTTCGTAGTCAAAGCATACCTAAGTGGATAGATAAGAGAAAACATAATCCGATTCGCAAATAACGATGGCGGTAAAAGGGAGATGATCAAGGGATTTAGGTTCGCTTCGCCCAGTCCATCTGTCTGTCACGAAGTATCGCGATGGATTTGCAGCAGATCAGCGCCCACGCCAAGCCCTCCTGCTCCATTTTCGTCTCAGCGTGCTTTTGCATACTCCGTGTCGTGCGGTTAACTGCGTCCGAGGACAAGTTTCACGAGCGTCCAATAATTTCTTGCTTCTTTGAGACGTATACTGCGCTTGTATGTAGCCCGAACATATAAGCACGAAGTTTGATTGGAATTACCATCGATTTCTTTGGTGAGAGTTTGTTCGTCCGAATTAATTAGAATGAATAGACTGTCAAGCTCACGTATACCCCCGCTGCATGCCAACTTAAGAGCCAAGGTAAACTTATTTAGGGTCTAAGACAAACTCTATTTATTTGTCATTAAGTTTTCAATTACAAATGCTTTTCTTGCCTCTCTCTCTCTCTCTCTCTCTCTCTCTCTCTCTCTCTCTCTCTCTCTCTCTCTCTCTCTCTCTCTCTGCGCATTGATCCTACCTACAAAGCAATCAAATTGCAGTTATCCATAAAGTTTCTGTGCATCTTTCAAACTAAGCTACGTTGTTCGCCTTTCTATTTTATCATGTAAAAAATGTTCCTTATTTTGCTACGAATAAGCTGATCCATAATGGAGTGAAAACGAAGGTCTTTAATTAAAAGGCTTGCAATAAAGACTTTAATTAACATTTTTTAGAAAATTTACGAAAAAATTTAACATCTAATTGCGATATTTTATTATTTTTTTTGATTCTGTTCAATTTCCCGCGCAAGGCAGCAGCAATTTACATTTTATTAATGAAACAACAAGAATCTTGAATATGATTATCATGATTGAATTATAGGGACAGGGATCGTGCGAGACCTATCGAGAGCAAAATCGAGAAAAGGTAGATTTTTGTTTTGCGCGCCTTTCCATCCTCGCTCAGTCACTCGATGTATTATGCGCGCACGGCTCGGCAGTGTGCGGAAAGCGTATACTGTAGGCGCACACGCACCACGTCTGTCGGCAAGCGGCGGCCTGCTGAAAAAATCGCAGGATGCGAAAGAGACAGATAGCATCGCGATCAGGCTATTTCAGTTTTTCCAAGCTCGATGTGAATTATTCCTGCACTAAAATTAGCAAATGTACGCGCTGGTCATTTTGTTTGATTTTTCGTAAGCGGTGATCGACAAGTCACATGCTCAGCATCTGGCAAGACTCATTTTTCTATCTTTTTATAAATTTTGAAAAAAAGTTCGGCTAATGATTCAACTATATGTAGCAATAGTGTGCCAAAAGAACTTCTGGAAGTGGCAAATGTCACCAACATCAAAGCAAAGATATACGAAATTTATAATGAATTTAAAAAGTGTAAAAAATAAAAAATTTAATTCTATACATTAATTTTCAATAATCTTAATAATATATACCAAGATTGTATATATTTTGATTTTTGGATGGCACAATTGATAAATTATTAATTAACGGATTCAATTAACTCGTTCAGACTTCTACGTAACGTAATGTGACTTATTAAACTTTATTCATTTCTAAATTTAAGAGAATCACAGATGGAGAATTGTGTATCGTTTTGGCAGCCTTTGTTAACTTATCGCAAATCTCGGATCAACTTGATTCGATTAAAGTTTTTCTTGGAAAAATAATCCACTGTCAAGAGTCAATAGTTAAGTGGCGCTCTTTGTCTGAATTTAATGATATTTGTGATATTATTCTTTCTCCTAGCTGAGATACCTTTCTTGCTGAAATTGTCAGTGTTTTTCAGTTTAGTTCTTTTCAAACGACATTAGCGACCAATTTCAAGCGACAATCAACGGTAACAGTTATTTTTACAGCTCATTAAAATAACGTATACTTTTATACTCGTATAAAAAAAAACTGAGCTGAAAAAGCTATTACGCATAGTTAACCCACAATGATATTGAGCTAGCTCGGTTAAAACCCAAATTGCGTGGTTACCGGAACGAATAAAAAATATCTCTGTGCAAGCTCGCGCGGGCATGAACATCGCAGAGGAAAAATTGAGAGCGAAACCAACGCGCTAAAGATCAACGAGCTGTCGGCGCGAAAGCTTCAGCCTGGTTATCTCTTTGCCGCGGTGGGTGCGTCGGTTGCTCGAGTGCGCGAAATGAAAAAAATAATTTTTTTCTCTTTCTTTTTTTGGAACTGCGTCAATCGTTCGGCGATCAAACGAATGAGAATACGCTATCAAGCGACAGACTGCGGGATCAAGAAAAGCCCACGACCGCGTGGCGTCGTTTGTCGACTAAAATAAAAGTAATAAATAAAGTTTTAGTCTCCCTTTTTCTCTGATCAGCTGCGCGCGACGAGAGATAGAGAGAGAGAGAGAGAGAGGAGCTTCGGTCGCCACTTCAGCTTCTCTCGTTCTTCTTTCCGACGTATAGCGCCGTACTTTCACTCTCGTTCATGATCCGCGACGTCCCAGCAATTTTCCGCGCAGCGCACTTTAGTTTTCTTCCTTGACGCGCGCTCGACCTCTGTTTTACGTTCGGGGATTACACGCGCGCCGCATGTGCTCGCGTTTATGATTGCGCGTTTCGCGTCGTAATTGTTTCGCGCGCGCCGAGACTCGCGCACTTCTGAATTGCGCCCGTTCGAAGCGAACGCGTCGCTTTGTTTTTTTTTTTTCCTTTCCAATCGCCCTTACAACTTTTATTTGAAATCGTTAATTTGAAAATAGTGCAGTACAAAATCGTTCGGATGTTAGTTACAGCAAATGAGATATACATGATGGAACGCAAATACGTAACGTTGCAGTCGAAAGTATAGGAATAGCGTTGTTGCATTTTCCTTCTAAGAAGTTAGACGGTGGCTTTTAGGCGCGTTGAGATTGCGTTTTTCTGACACATGTCGGTGGTACTCGCGAGAATTTATTGCCTACCGGTAAAATCTCGCGCTGCATTTTTTTGGTTCTCTTGGCGACGATTCACGAGTTTAATAGTTCTATTGCGACCCGTAACTGCCAATTACTTAAAAGTAAGGGATGCTTTGACAATTATCAAGCTATTCGAAGTCGCTAATTGACGTGTTGAATGAAAATAGGTGCGTTCAAATGGAATTGCAAATGATTGTTTATAGTGAACTCTGAATGCATTATTGAGAAAGACAAAGTTAATTTGGACATCAATGTCCATTACTGAAGAATTTAAAAAATAACGAAGTTTCTTTAAAAATTTTGATTATAAAAGTCCGTGGCTAAAACGTTTTCTAAAGAAAAATACCCACAAATACTCCATTTTTCATAAAAATCAATGCTAATATTTTTTTTTCAAAGAGTGCGCTGATAACCAAACGGATAATATTTAATGTGCTTGAATGCGACGTTTAATACAGTTAAACCTTCACGTTCTTTTTCTTTTACGATCCATTAAACTTCATTTGGAGGAGAAATAGGCAGGAAGACAGTGTAAATGGATTTATACGAAAAAAGTTAGTCGGCTGTGAAGTTCGGACTATTCGGACAACTAACATTGTTTTGGATAATTGAATTGTCATATCGATCAGCATAGATTTTAGTTTGTGAATTGGCGTTTGTCGATGAGATTAGAGATTCGCACTGATCAAGTATTAAATTCAATTGCAGTCGTTACGACGTAGTGATATTGCCAAGAAATACGTAGTGCGACTGTTATAAACTTCAATTCGCGTCCATCCCGATGGGATTTCGATGAAAATATAACTGAATCGACCTCAAGCGTCGACATTTTTCGAACTTTCTTTTACGTACGCGGCCGACAAACAATGCGAGGTTTGAATAACGAAATCTATTCGCGCACTTGTTATTGGTACGTGTCACTCCGGGAATGTATCAAAGCAGTCCTAATTTTCGAAAAGTTGTTTTTTTCCAATGCCGAAATTCAATGTAACTTTTATTTTTTCGTGAAATGATGATCGCTCGAATAATCAACATTAAAACTTATATCGAGTATAGAAAATTTTTTCTAACTGATATTCTTTCAATTCAACCCTCGTCGCTCCGCAGTATTTAAATATGATCACTTAAATTAACAACTCTATGCAAAAATGTCAACATTTTTTTCCAAATTAAAATAAAAACAATTTGCTGTAACAAGTCAAAACGGAACATTTTAATTAAAAATTTATTTTCCATGAAATTCAATCATCACCGAACGAAAGCTCATTTCGAACGGAAAAAAATGCGACCAATCTATCAAAACGTCAATTATTCGCGCATCTATTTTCATCACTATGAAGAAGAGATGAAAGTAAGCGTGATCCAACGAAGTCCTTCGGAAGCTAAAACTTTTTCCCGCAAGGTATATGAAGAAACTCGATGCACCGAGATAATTGTTTCCCGCGCTAATGTGAAACAGCATCCGTTTTACTGCGAAAAAATGTAAGCGGAACCGGTAGCAGTTTTTATCCGCGCGTACTTACTCGGATGCACGAAAAAAAAACCAAGAACGAAAAAGAGAAAAAAGTAAACTCTTACCCTGCATCCTGATAAGTCTTATAAATGTACACCACGAAACGCAAGACAACCGAACGAAGCACTTTGCACTTGAAAGTACAGAACGAGCAGCAACAACACTTTGCAAGGGACAGAGAGAAAGCGCGCGAAGAACGGGATGCACTTGCCGTGAGGACGCGCGGCTCGCGACTGCCCGAGAGTTTGAGTTCTTCGCTCGCCGACAGAAACGGACGAGAAGTGGCGCGCGCGCACATGTACCTAACAGTCAACCGGGGGCGTCGGCAGAGAGCGAGTAGGTAGCACTCTGAGGCTTCTTCGTTCACGGTGAATCCTACGCGATAATCGATAAAGGAGACCGCTCTTATTTTTCAAATTTCACGACGAGCCTAATTTATCAATTGTCCCGTCGCCGATTCTCGAGACTCGTTAGACCGCGGCGGCTCAACTTGCGATTCTCATGTGGCTGTAACGCGCGACTCAAATAAGCGATAAACCTCTTTGCGTGCCCGTACATCTCTACTGGAAATGGTCTTTCTCTTTTTCGAGGAGTGCCAACTATTTTGTTTCCAATCAACGCCTAATTTCTTATCACCGATCCTTTTAAATCTGCGACTTTTCATATTTTCATACAAATGTACGCTTTCGCACTGTGCTGGAACAATTTTTTACGCGGCGCCGAATATTTCTCCTGGTCTATTCAAAATTTCATTGTCGCGTGCGCATGCGAGTATGTACAATAAACATCTGTCCCGAAAAAGCTTTTGGAAAACTATTCGCCTCGAGATTGCCATTGCGACATTGTCTAGCTTTAAGAAAGGCCGGTGAATAATGAACGCAGCGTCAAAGGTGTCATTATTAGAAGATTTTGCAACACGAATTATCCATTAAACTTTTTGCAAATCTAACAACACTTTAGAAAATGCGTTGGCCCAACGCTCAAGTTTCAAGTACGTACATTCGTTTAATCTTACCTACACTCCTCCGTCCCTAGAGTACTTAAAGCTTTAGAATTTTTTTTTTTTTTTTTTTGCTTTAAAACCCCACTTGAAATTTGTACGCGATGCTGAGCAATCGTGTAAAGTATAAGAAGCTTCAGCGAAAACTGTGCTTATTGTTTTTCAAAATGGAGAATGGATTATTTTGCAATTTGCTATTCAAACGAAACGATCAATAATGATACACAAATTTGAAACATTCTCTGAATGAAATTGAAATAATAATCGATTAATTATATTACGTGAGTTGTCGCATCTCACGGAAACCCCAGCGTCTAACGTCAATTACGACTATAATCGCGTAACGGTGCATGAAAGCCTTTGAGGTACATAGCGATTAATTGCGACGTTCCTTGTCCGACAAGTCCCTTATTCAAAGCATTTCGTCGAACGTTATCACTTTAACTTTCGAGTGGGAAACGAAAAAGAAATTCAATCTAAAGGTGAAGAATAAAATAGTAAAAATAACGAGCCACGATTCTGTGGCTACTTGTGCTGTGTTAGACACGCATAGCTCTGGCACGTGTACCAAGCAAGGCTAGCGAATCTATACGCGCGTGGGAGCAAGTTGGTGCATCCCAAAGTAGCACCGAATGCCCGCAATACCTACGCGCCACGAGTTCATTTTTCTTTTCTCGTCAATGAATTCATCGAACGGAGGTAATCCATCGCGTAAAATATGCGTCGACACGCGGATTCGGTGAACGCGCTGCCACTGCTGCTACTGTGGCCCAAACTATACGAGTAGTACACGTACACCCTCGGAGGTCCAAAGAATCAGAAGAGCGCGATTGTAGCTTTCGACTGCGAGCGATTGTTCAATAACTTAAGCTTGCAATGCAAGCTTACGCGTTCGAGGCAAGCTGTAGACGTTTGCTCGCACTCTCGCGACGTTTATAAAACTTTAGCCGGGTGTTACGACATTAAAGCCCTAAATAACTATTATCCCGTCAATAACTCTATCTCGAGCGTCTATTTTCGGTATATATACACATTCGGGCCGCGCACCGCCATTATATTGCAAGAAGTATTTCGATTTATCATCTCGTAATTCATACGTTCAATAAACAAAATTACAGCGAGAGAAGTTTAAAACCGCATAAAACGCGCTGGAAGCTCATAAATTAACGACCCTCTCAGGCCCGTGCGCGTGGCAAAATAAAAAATCTAGAGCGCGCACATAATCTGGGTGTCTGTGGGTTATTGTTGGTTTATTAAAATACGCGACAAAGTTATTTTTATGACATGTGACGAAAACTTTCTTCGCGACAACTTTGAACTTTCTTTGTCATTCGCAAGTTTCGAATGAGCTTTGCTGTGAAATTGAAGTTACATGTACTAGATAAAACAGTAGATTATTGATTTACAGTGTGATATCAGCTTATACGAGCTGTGTATACAGATAATTTAAATTGCTTTCATTTGAAGCATTATTGAAAGGAATGTAAATGAAACAAAAATTGTTTTATTGCTTAATTCAACACATGACGTGGTTAACAATTTCTTTTCACAAAAATGCGATGCTGTTTACATTTCTCAAAAAAGATGTGCGATGAAATTTAATTTTCTTTTGTAAACGAGTCTTATCCGGCAAAGCTTGTTAAAAGATTTTTCTTTGATAAAATATTAATCTCCTCGAGAGTTGTTGCGCAACGTTTTCGCATGCAAAATCTTGATTTATGAAAATTCAACTGAAACAAAATTGCTATTTCGCCGAAATGCTTACCTCGAGAAAAGCCACGCGAATAACAGCATATAAGATATAGGTGGAACCGCAACAGGACTAAATTCAATATAGGACTGCTCGGATTTGAATTATAGCCTGTGCTATAATTATGCGGCAGAGCGCTATGGCATTGTGTTCGTGCTATCGAGCGATGATAGTTCCATGGAGTTAAATCATCTCTGAAGGTGAAATCCGTTTCACGGAAGCCGTTTTCCTCTCAAACCACCGAATTTTTCAGTTCTTCCAATACCCTTTGCCCCCCTTACCGAATGAATATGTGTGAGCCACAACACAAGCTATCCAAATATTTCTAAACATCCATCCTCTGATTCATCTTCTCTCTCTCTCTCTCTCTCGTCCGATTATTATTATATACCTAACATCGGATTATATTGAAAATCAATAATAAACCTTGACTAAGCATTCCTGTAAAGCTTTTTTCGTTTCATTTTTTGAATTTCCGTGGACAGCCAAGGAGAAAACTTAACAGCTGACTGAAATAAATTTAGGAATTCCAGTTATCAATGCTAAAATATCGTTTTTCGTTTCATTTGTCAAAGTAAATATTGACGTACAACATAAATACTAATTCGCTTGCAAGTATTAGAAATGTAAGTAATGTTGATATAGTAATTTATTTGTATGTATCACGCGTGATTCAAAAAAGTAATAATGCCCTTTTTGTAGTCCAATATTGGATCCAGTGTCTTTGCGTGTAACCGAGAGAGGCAGGATCGGCTAGACATATCATGAAAACGATCGCGAGACGATTCACGCTGATGATGCTTTTATAAGCTTTAAAACGGGCTGCGGTCCGTTCAGAGCAGTTGGCGCAGAGTAGTCCCGTATGCATAGGGTACACCTAGCCTTATATCGCTTGGCTAACGAACTGCTCTATATTAGCGACAATTTGCTAGCGGCAAGCTGAATTCAGCCTTGTTTGTACGTCTGACAAAGTTCAAGAGAACTAGGGAGCCCCGAGTAGCGGCAGTTCATCAAGAATAGGGTAAATGAATGGGGAGCCGCGCGCTACAAATGAAGAGGTCTTGAATCGCGATATCTTTCGCTTATGTATTCAGCCGGTGACGAATAATGAAATCCCACGACCGCCTGAGATAATAGGCAAAGACGGGCGAGCGAAAAGTTCGGAATTCAAGATGACTCACTAATACCTTTGCCTCTCATTTCTGGCGCTCTCGCTTCGGTCTGTATTCTTGGCGCGTGCGCGCGCCCGCGACACGGCCACTTCTTCGTTCTCGCGGCGGCTCATCAATATTCTCATACCTTCTGTGCGCCACTCTCTTACGCCTGCGAGCGTCTTTTGTTTATACGAAATTCATTTTTTTTTTTTTCCATTTTACAACGTTACTGTCGGAAAACTCGCTCCTTCTTACCGATTCCGTCAAATGCTTCATTAGTCGTGATTCATTTGTCTAATAAATTATGTAATTGAGACGCCAATGTTAGTTTAATTTTGCTTTTAATCCGTAAAGTCAAGATTTAAAGGTATATTAGAATGATAAACTAGAATTACTTGCCGTTTTCACTATCGAACATTGCGTGCTACTTTCTCGTTGAATATTGTATTGACTAGATCTACAATCAACCATACTTTATTCACTTATAAGTATCAAACTTTCGGTGTATATGATAGAAACAGAATAGGCTAGCTTGGAATGAAAAGAACTATTGCAATATTGGTTACCTGTCTGAGCGCAAAAATTAAGCAAGAAAAATTTTCGTACTAATCTTTTGTGACTTTAGAAATTGATGTAATCCTCGGTCCCCACCTTGGCTCTGTTTGATTCAACGGCTTTTCCAGTCTTAGGTTAAAGTTGCGCAGTACAACTGCAACAAGGACCACAGACTGATATACCTAGTCTCCAATATCTCGACCAATTATTAACATTTTCATTCAAAAATTGTTTTCCTAAATATTTCAAACCCTTTCAAGAGAAGATATGATACACACAGTCAATGGTAAAGAGTTTTATTGAAACATTCAGAGAAACATATTAAAAATACTGAGAAGACTAAAAGATTAGGTTTGTAAAAATATATATCACGATAAGATAATCTATGCTAAAAATCACATACTCAGAGAAAAAAAGGGAAACGTTGGTGCACATAATTCTCAAACAATCGAATGCCTTGTCATTCGATTTTTTTCATCATAATTTTCATACACTTCGTTTCGATATTAGGAAAGAAAGGTTCGCCATCGTCGTCAAGAAAATCAGAATAGTCTTGGCTTAATTCTTCTTTGAATCCAGCTCGTGCTGCTAAAATCTGGGAGGCAGTCGCTGTGAATACTGTGGACGTCGCTGGAATGTTATACTTTTTACCTATCTCATCTCTAAAATTAACGAAATAATTTAAAATAATTTACTTTCATTATATCACAAACATATTATAACGTACTTTCTCGATTTATCAATTTCACAATCTAATTATGCTCAATTAATACAGGTATTGATCGTCGAAAATAAATAATTAAAAAATACGTTCAGTGATAAAAAGAAACGCTTCGTTAACTTTTTGTACCTCGCTTCGAGCATCCGTTGTCCCAATTTTTGGCCTCTAATATGAGGCGCGACACTTAGCCCCAGGGCAGCAATGTATTTGTCGACGTTTAATATCTTACGAGCATCGGCTTTATGCGATATTTCCAGTATGATGTCGAAAAGTTTAATGAGTTTCGGTGATTCAAGAAGCCTCTGCAAGCCAAATCTTAGGTATTTTTGCATCGCATTCAATTAAATGAAATCAATCAGAACTCACCAATAAATCGCCCATTTCTTTGTCCGTTTCGTCGCACACGACATTTAGCATGTTGACCGCAGCTAGCTCAAGTATTTCATTGTCTTTATCAATGACATAAGCTGCCTCAACGATTCCCTGATCCAAGCAATAATTCCAGTAGACGCGGAAGCCACGTATCATTTCCGGGTCGCCTTTCATCTCTATGCGAAACAAGTTACAGCATAGATATTTTAACGACGATGGTAGAGAATATAAAAATAAAATTATCGATTGCAGTATCAAGTGAATTAACTTTCATATGGTACACCAAGAAGTAACTTTTCTTTTCTGTCGATGCCATCAAAACTGTGTAGAAACACATTTCAAGGTTTCTCATCTTCGATTGAGTTTCTATACGACTTAATATTCAATTAGGACTGTATTGTCAGTGCAACATTTGAAATTTTTTCCAGCAATATTTGAAGTTTTACATATTTATAACCATTATTTAAAAACTGATAAATGTTATTCAAGACTTTAGATTGTGCCAATGAGAAAATTGCAGTAAAAATATTTAATGATCAGTTACATTAGTGATTTATCTCCATATTTGACGAAAATGCATTTCCAAAAATTCAAATACTAGCGTGCACTGAAAGAATTTAAAAAGAACATCCACGTACTTAAAGATTTGCAAATTGGCTCGTCAGCCAAGAAATACTTGATCATGTGTTGCATCGTCTCTTCGCGCCTGTCTTCTGGCACTTCTTGAATTGAAAATCTAATTGGCCTCGTTGAGCCGTCGGCAAGCTTTTCCGTGCCCTCCACTATTTTCCAAACGTTTAACGGGCCATCGGGACGACACCAGGCAGGTCGCGTTTTATTGTTCATTTTGCTTGCAATCAACTCGACGACCACTTTACACGGTACAAGTCAAGTCCCACTAGAAAACGCTTAGTGCCACGGCTTCGAGTGTTTCGATGACTTTAAGCATTCGGCCTGACGATATCGCGAAAAGTGCTGCGACGATCTGCAAGTATTGATTTATCATTCGACGACTATTAAACTCGACTGAAGCAAGGTCGTTGCTTTGCGATAACAGTGCCGTTGTCCGTGGATAACCACTAACTTTCTTTATCACAAAACTTACTGTTTGCCTTTTTTTTTATTAACTGCCGCTTAACGACAATATAACTAACGACTTCGATAACAATAAATAAACTTTTCGTAAACGTATAAAAAAACAAAAAAAAACCGATGGATGGAAGTGTTTCGTAAGTTCAAAATGAACGTGCCAAACAACAATCGAACGTAAATACAGCACGTGGCCGAGAGTTGCCGCTGTCTAAAAGTACGAAGCTCACTGGAGAGCGTTCGCGGAAAACTTTGAATATGTAGCCTTCCGCACGAGCAAATTTTATCGCAAGCGCGCACCGACGAGGCAGGAAAGAAAAAAAAAAGCAAAAAGAATTCAGCTGGCGCGCGCGCACTCGATACGAAACAGCGCCGAGCGCAAAACTGAAACTCAGCGTAGAGCTGCACAGCAGGCACGCCAAGCGTGCACCGCTCTGGCACTTGGCGTGTAAAAATAGTACGCACGCGCGCGCGACGACAACTACGACGACGACAGTCTTGCTCGGAACCGTCGCACGGAGCGTCGGCGATGATATAGACACACAATGACGGCTCCATTTGGCGAGCGCGACCGAGCGCCCCGAGCGACGTGGATGCAAGCGCGCGCGGATGACGATCGAGCGAGAAGCGCGTCATTTCCCAATTGCGCAAGGAGCAGCCTCCCGCGCGTGGGGAGCGATCTTATCGTCTACGGTCAAAATCGAGGTCGGGACGGCTCGACGCCGCCACGAGCTTTCGCGCTTTTCCTTTTTTTCTTTTTCCAATTGGACTCGACGCTCACCGCGGCGAGCCACAATGCGCGACTATCCGCGGCACTGAACGTTCACGCGCGTACACGAATTCATGCAAATTGACAGAGGTCGAGTTCAACGAGATGTTATGTGACTGCGCGCTTCGCCGATTCAAGTTTACAGTGCGTGTCGCTCGACCCGTCTTCCTCGCCTATCGTTGTCTCGAAGGTTAACGACGGATTTGATCCAAGGCGTAAAGACTATCGATTTGGTTTGTAGGAAACTCAGTTCGCTTAGAATTTCAATTGGATTTTTCCTCGAATTCACTCCCGACAAATTTTCTTCGGAGACGCGGAATTTAAATATCGCTAGCACAAATTTATCAGGATTGCTGGAGTTCGCGAGCTTTTCATTAAAATTTAACTACGACAACCGACGAGCAAAGTTGCTATGCTAAAAATTTCATTTCAACGTGAATATCGTACAGACATCCCTCCACGCAATCAAGTTATACATAATGAATGAGCCATAGCAGTAGGTTGATGAGCACTCATTTAACGAAATACACTGTATTGAAGTTCAAATTACCGGGAGGAGGCAAATTCGCTGGAGTGATTCGTACGAAAAATTGCTGCTTCAGCACGCCCTTTCGTCGTAGACTCTGTTTTGGTTGACAAACAATGATTTACAGTGAATGACGTAAAAAATTATTTTTCTTTTTCATAATTAGAATCAAACGTGCGCTTGCTTTACGTTGAACATTGAAATTAAATACCCTATAGCGTCACCCTAACTGAAAACCACTGTAACTTAGAACAACAAGCGAGTTTTACTGCACCAAGGCTCAATTAAAAGCTTATCATGTGCCAGAATGTGTCCCAAGAACTTTTCGTCGACAAAAAATATTTTGAAACCTTAAAATCATGTCTGATATTTGAAATCAATATTAAAATGTACCCATAAAAAGCATACAATTTCAATATAACAAGTCATAAAAAAATAGATAAAAAATTGACATTTTTACTTCAATAACGAGAATAATTCAACTTTCTCCTGGCGAGAAACTGTTTTTAATATTATTTTCATTGTTTTTCTTTGTACTCATAAAAAATAAAGACGAGAAAGTATTTTAGTATGATTTTTATTCAATGTTTGGTAACAATTTTCTGTTAACGCATAATAAAATAAACTTGATTTAAAATACTAAAAAATGCAATACTTTACTTATTTTTGTACTACCACTTACAATCGATACAATATATTGGTACACGTCTTGAACACGACGAAGCACTAAAATTAAAAATCCAAACAGATTATAAAATATAATTACTCTATTGAAAGAAACTTATTATACTGACACTTAACGAGAAATAGAACTTCAAAAAAGATATGCGCTTGAACTGCTGATGATAAAAATAATTTAATTAAAGCTTATAACGATTGTAATATATTAATTTCTGTTTACAAGAATTACGAGCTTTCAACGTTACAACATCATTCTCGTGCCATTAATCGGTGAGTACATTAGGGAAGACAAACTATTCGGCGAGAGATAATTTTAATTGATCCGTGATCCTTGGCATCTCACCGCAACACTTTTGTCATTATCTTAAGACACTTAGCGTCGATGTTGGGGAACAAGGCTTCACCATTGGCATCCAAAACTTTGTCGTAGTCCTGGGCAAACTCAATCCGGTAACCGGCGCGCTCTGCTTGCTTCTGTGATGCTGGCCCCGTAAAGGCTGTCGAGCTTACAGTTATATCGTATTTTCGACCGATGTCATCCCTGTAATTTCTCATTGTTTTTTTTTTTAATTTTTATTTGATACAAGCATAATTAGATATTGCGAGCTTATAGATGTTTATTGAAATTTTATAGCGGTAATTTTTTTTTCCTTTATTTTAGCGATGAAAAGATTTGTATGGCGTATAAAATATAATTATGTAGTTATTATTACGCAGTTATCGGACTTGCGTGACAATAAAAAATGTCATATCGCTTTTACAATCATGTCAAAGAGCACAGCTTCGACAAAGTTTCCGGCATCAAGTCAATTAGTGCTAAATAATATTTTTTCATATAACTAATAATTCATATAAAAATATTAAAAAATTTTTTATGGAATCACTAGTAAGAATAAAAATTTTAATCATACTAATTTATGCTACATTTAACGTACAATAATAAATTAATTAAACCAACCCCGTTAGACTGATACCGATAAAAACAGTAGAGTAGCAAGTTACTTAATAATTGCAGCTAGATTTTTCGTTATGTCAATGATTTATAGCGTGTGCGTCGTTATTACGTGTAATATCCAATGCGCTCGCTTTAAAGGCCTCGTAAAACGCTCGTCGTAAGCAAACGCGCTCGGATATTCAGATATAGACCGCGGAAGCGCCGCGCGCGCGCGATCAACGATGAAACAGGCTGCAATTGTGAGACTGAACGCGAAATTATTTAACCAGTCGTTTTGTTATGTTTTTTTCAATCTTTGAATACCTCGCTTGTAAAAGATGAACTCCCAATTGGTGACCTCGAAACTCTTGCTTCACGCTACAACCCAAACCGGCAATATACTTATCGACTTTGTATATTTTGCGAATGTCGACTTTTTGCGAGACGCTGTTCATGAATTCGAACAACTTTTTGGAGCCGGGTGATGTGAACTTTTGCTGAAAGGAGAAATAACGTTTTAGTCATAAAAACAATGCACACTAATTATTTTTAGCTTTAAACATATATAAACTTTATTTGAAAATTTGTAGTTGTATTCAAGTACTTAAGTAATTCGATTTACTGTTAAAAAAATTTATTTTTCTAGTTATTTGAGTGAGGTTCTATAGATAGCCTTGATAATCCTTAATAATCCGAGGTGTTGTATACATTTAATTTGCGACAATCACCGCCTAAGACATATGTATTTAATGTGGTGACAACACAACATTGTCTGACATCGGGGCAACATTAGCTTAAGTAAATTAATTACCTAAGTCGTTCAAACTTGGCTAACTATCTGAAACTTAGTTAGTGGGCGTATATTATACTTGTTGCTCCAGCTATTTTGGCGCTATAGTATGTGAGCTTTCGATCAAATTCAAATGATCCTTGGAATATTAAACAATTTAATTAAAGTTATAATTAAGATAAACTTACGACTACCGCGTAAGTTCTGTGCTATTTTACGATTACAATATCATATCAAATATAATTGAATACCCGTTATACATTTTTTTATTGTTTAATAGCAATCCTGCTAATAATTACGTGCCTGAAAAGGAATAAATGTACACCGTGACCAACTTGTAAAAATTAATAAATTATTTTGGAAGCTAGTAGAAAATTCATGTTCTTTTTTAAGTCAGATCGATACAGAAATATTTTTGGTATTCAATAGAGATAGCAGTTTGTTTGTAAAAGAAACACACGTTAACATGAAAACAAAACAAACGCGTGAGTATGAATTTGCAAAAGTAATATTGCGCGATATAAATAACCCAATAACCCAATATATACACATCTCCCTCTCTTTCTCTCTCGTTTGAAAATTGAAGGTTCTTACCGTCATTTCTTCCAAGGTTTTGTCAACCTCGACTGACGAGACATACAAGATATTCACGCCCACAAGCTCGCCAAGCTTGTTACCCTCCTCGAGCTTAAACGCGCCAACGCTTATCCCCAAGCCTAACAAGTAAGCCCAAAGACGTCGAAAGTCTGCCAGTGCATCTTCATCGTGCTTCAAATCTGAAAACGGCACGTGTACGCGCCCCAAAAAATTTTATTAACTATAAAAATAACAAACAAAAGGTTCGAGACCGCAAGTCAGTTAACGACTTTACGTACCGAGAGCTTTGCAGGTGGCTTCCTCTACGACGAAATAGTCGAGCATGGTTTTGATGGCCTCGTCGTATCTGTGCTCGGGAACATCTTGAATGGAAAATCGAAGTCCTCCAGTCGTCACCTCGACTACACGCCAGACGTTGATCGGACAAACTGTTCGATCCGACTTCGTCGCTAATGGGCAATCTCTGTTTTCCTCCGTCGCCATACTTGTTCCCGAGGGGGTCTCTCTCTCTCTCTCTCTCTCTCTCTCTCGTAAAATCTGCCGAATCACTAGTTTTGCCGCCCCGAGATTTTTCCTACTCCTCGGCTGACCGGCTTATCGCTACTTTTATTCCGAAGACTTGCCTGTAAGGAACGTTGACAATCTTTACGATAGTTTCTTTTTACCTTTTTCTTTTACGGTCATCTCGCGTACGCGCGATCAAAATAGAGGTTGCCGGAGCAAAGTTGAACTGGAAGGTCAAGCTATTATACTCCAATAGTTGACAGCGTGCATTAGATATCTCAGTCTTCCTGCATTGTATCATAAACTATCTAGGATACCCTACGTTATTGTCAAATGCTAAACGTAGAACGAGAATGATAAAATCTGTGACAAGCCTTTGTGAAACATTTTTGTGAATTATCAAAGTTACTCCGTAAGAGTTATCATTTGAAGCATCGTGGAAAACTATAATATTTTATAAAATCTTGAACTTGATCGAGCATAATAATTTCTATAAATTTATAGTCAAGTTGCTCTCCGCTTTTCTTGAATTAAACAGCTGCGAAAAATCTCTTAAAATAACTTTTGCACTTAGTTTCTTGTGCTTATTTCTAAATAACTATGAATAGCCATAGAAAAATAATAATTTTATTTATATGCTTATTTACTGTGACAGTTACTAATTTTCCTATTTCTAGGTGCTAATATTGCATTTTACCAAAATAATAAAAGATCCGAATATTACGTAAACTAAACGAACGCATGTATTTATATACGAAATTTGTACGTTTCAAAAGTACAGTATGCTGGAACATAGTCGCATATTTTGAGCGGCAAAAATATGACTCTGTGTTGAATTCACCTAACTGAGCACCTCGCGCGTCGCACCTACCATACCTCGCAGCGACGCTTCAAATAAAACAGGAAAAAGCAAATTATTGCGATTCATGATCGCTCGTGTTTGATATGGGCCTTCGATTGGTGAGAAAAGAATCGATTTTAATAACAGTCTAATAAAAAACGTCGATTATCAGACTTTGTGAAAAACTATCGAAATATTGATATTATGGATAAATATTTTAAACTCATAGCAATCATGCTATTGGAATAAAATACCACAGGTTGTGAGTTTAAACACGATGATTGCCGAGAAAAGTTAACTTATCTACGAAATCGTACAATTTTCCAATTTTTATCGATGAGAAACTTAAATTTGCATTATATGTGTAATTTCGTTGATTTCGACAACGAGAAAAAACGGAGTCGATGCTAAAATAATCGAATGATTAATCGAAAACGAACTAAGCCACCCCAATATTCCTTATGACGTCGCGCCGAGCTTTCATCCGGGTGCTCTCGCCATATTACATTTCAGACGTGCAGGCGACACTGGTGAAGATCGGCGCGCGATGCCGCTGGTGCACTTTTTCGTTCGCAATTACATGCGTCTCGTATCGTAAAGCGAAATGCGATCGAGGAACGGGCAAATACCCAGCTTAATTGAACGTACCAGACGATACAAATGTTTTACATTCCGAGCGTCGAAAACTAGAGGCGAAATGAGATTACATTTAGAGCAATTACTTGAGCCAAATATTACTTTTAGCGCATCCAACAACCTATTTTAAGTACAACAATAAGTTCACAAAAAATAGATTTCTTACTTTATGAGTAACCATCTTATTTAAATTAAGAAAAAAGCCTAATTACTTTACTTATTTTAAGTTATCTGAAGTACACCTTTCTGAAGTATAAATCTTTGATAAGAACTTATATATAAGTACATATTTTATCAAAACTTAACCAGATGATCAGATTATTTATCACAAATAAATATTAATTCATTGAAAAATTATAGAAAACTGCATACTTCGGGCAAACACATTGACGTAAAACACACGTCGAAGCAGAAGTATTCTTCGACATATTTAACTTGCTCTATCGCAAAAAACAAATTATGCACATATTGTATTATAGATTGATGGGCCTTCGAATGATTTCTCACGAATGGTCAATATTTTTCAAATAAAAAAACAACGACTACAAAATTTGTTATCTGATAAACTGGAAACATTCTGACCGCAATGCAACCTATCTTTTTTATGATTTCGCGTGCATATAAAAAGACTGAATTAATCACGTATCAATGTTTCTTTCGCGTAGTAACGTTGCAGAAATTAAATGGTATGTGATGAATCCATGAATCCCGAATAAAATATGACTTTTCATGTCACCGTATGTATTTATTCCACGTTGATTGATTCGATTAATGAATTCGCAATTATTTCGCTACCTCGAAGTAATCCAAAATAGTTAAGGTACAGCATTGCTTGACAGTTGCAGAGGCAGTAAAATATCCGTGGGTCGCATACGTTTAACAAATCATCAAATGAGATAGATACGTAAACTACATCTTAATGCTTGTACATGTACTCGCGCAGAGAGAGAGAGAGAGAGAGAGAGAAAGGGAGAGAGAGAGAGAGAAAAATGAACCATTAAACCGTTCGGTACTGCTCAACGCGTTTGACTTTATTGATAGTAAAATCCTGCATGTTACGGCTCCCCCTCAGTTGGTTGCATCCTCTCTCTCTCTCTCTCTCTCTATTTCTACATATTCGAACTTACGCGTCACAGATCGTTTACTATGCATGATATGACGTGCAACGATATGCGTTCCCTGTGGCAATGAGATGCTATGCTACTCGCTTTAGATGACATTGTAACTTTACTTTTTTTTTATAATTATTTTACGGTCCTACTTAGATAGTGATCGCGCATACATATTTAGGGATGAAATGTAGATTTAATCGAGCTAATTTTTAGAACACTTGGTCATTTTCAATAATTTACTTTTAATGACTATTATAATTCAATGAAAATCATCCTTGAGCTAACAATCATTTTTAGCGAATAATGTAAGCATTCAGTTCAAAAATAAGATAAGCGATGCACTTTCTGCGCGATATATTCAATCGAAATGTGTTCGGATATCTGTTAGTAGAAGAAATTGGTTTATTGTAGATTCACGGATAAAAGTAGATAAACTAGACAGGCAAATGGATAACGAGGTCAGCAGTAACAGTTAACTCAACGAAAGTTTGAAAATTTATCGATTTGAAATATGAATAAAAATTTGAACTTACAAAAAATCACTTTGTCAAGTAACACGCTTAATTCTGATGCAGCACTCGATTATAATATTGAGTGGACTCGTTAAAAACCATGTAGAAACTCACGCACATAATTTTAATTCCAGCTTCGACTGAATACGCCGTAAGGGAACTAACGTAGCGTTTAACCTGGTCCAAAATATGTCGAGTTGTAGAAAAAGCAGGAATATTGTCAACACGCGTCAAATTGTCGACTCGGACACTAAGTGCGGGGCTTCTGTCAGAAATATTCTACTGAACTGTGTTGTACGACGACACGGTTTCGTTCCTGTTACTCTCCCCTCCCGCTTGTGCACTATGAAAGAGAATGTACCATGTCTCTCCAAAAACATTTCAAGGTCATTATCAAAATATTCCTTCAAAATTTTAAATTGAAGTAACGAATGTATTAAAATCAAATTTAATTTGTTGTGCCGTGCTGCGATTTTAAAACTTATTATTGAGAAATTCCATTGTATTACTGGGCATATTCTAATTCTTTCTAATATTTTATTATTTGACTTTTTAAATACATTTCTCAGTTTAATGATAATTTCTAGTTATCAGCTGCTGATAATGTTATGAACATGTGTTTGAAACGCTAGAATTAATCCGATAACATTAAATTGTTCCGAAAGCGACTATAATATCAACAGTATCAAATAAAATGTCTTTACGAAAACGTATTACTTGAAACAAAATATAAATGAAGATTTTGAAGAGAAATTATAATATCTTATTCGTAAGTTTATTATAATATTATACAAAGATAGATGATTTTATATCGTTTCAAAACAAACTGTGATATTTCTTACTCTATTTATATTTTTATGCTTTATAAAGTTGTAAAACAAAGATCGTTTGGAAGTTTTTTATAATCAGCCTGAACTATACAAACATTTCGCTAAAGTTTGTGGTTTGGTACATGCAAGTTCGTACTTCAAGTTGTATACTGAATAATGTTACGAGCTAGGAAAGTAATGATGTAGAAGCACGAAACTATTTATAATGAGATACAAGCAGGTCTTAACGAGTTTTTATGGTTTTTTTAGTGCTCCAAATTACAGACGAAGAGAAAATAAGTATAATGGCGGGCGAATAACATGCAGTGACGACATATGTTCCTCATATAATTTAATCAGCCAACAGATTTTCGTTCATTATTTATAATAGTTTGATAGATGGCCTACTATTTTGGAATAAGACTTCTATTTGCTCTAATTTCATTTTCAACATATATGTTAAGTGCACAAGCTGTACTCTAAAACTCCAACGTCACTTTTCTTTGTGGCAGTTAAAATACTAGATTAAATAAATGGATTTCGAAATAATAAAATAAACATATGTGATATACGATATAAGGTCAATGAATAAAATTTATTACATGATTATTATTATGATTATTGTATTGACTTTTAGTCGTGAGTATTAAAAATTCTTTGGAAACATTTACCGAATGGTGACTGGAAAATCTTTTCTCTCGTGTAGAACGTATTGACAAATACACCTAGAGCAGAAAACTGTTTGTCAGGTCTTACGTAATACCAATGATAACATGTGAAGAGATTCTATACTCTACGCTCGTTTATTACTCATCTCTTAGTATAAACGGCATTGACGCTATACACGTTATACATGCAAAATAAAATTTATACATAATGAACTTTTTATTTGTAAGAACATTTAAATTTTTGTTTGGATTTTCAGTCGGATCAGTCTAATGATTACATTTCCACTGTAAAAATTGATTTTGTACAGTGATATTTTCAATGTGATTAGGCCTGTTATTCACGAGGAGAAAATTTCGAAATGGCAAAACGTTAGTCAAAATATCTCGGATTCAGCTTTAATGATATTCTATATCGAATTGTATATAAATTTCACATAATGCACTGAGATCCTGTTAAGATAACGTAATTTACGTATTTTCCAAAACATCCATTCTTCGCTAAGGAAGTCTCTTCATCATTATCTTAGCATACTTTGAATCAATATTTGGAAATTTAGGATTGCCTTTATCGTCTAAAATATCTGCAAACTCGACTGAAACTCCTTCTTCAAAGCCGGCTCGCTTGGCTTGAATTTGTGAGGCCTGAGCAGTGAAAAATGTAGTTGTGGCTGAAAATCCATATTTTTTAGCCATAGGCGACCTGAAAATAATGTATTAGTGTGTGAAATTGAAAATGATTCGGGATTATTATAAAATGATGCTATTTGATTTCAATTAACTGAAATACCTTGCATCCAAAATATGAAGTCCTAATTTTTGACCTCGGAAAGCGGGTAGAATACTAAGGCTTATTGACGTGATATATCGATCGACATTGTAAGTTTTACAAACATCAGCTCTAGATGCTAAATCTTCGAAAGTGTCCCAAATAGTCAAAAAATTTGACGACTTAAAAAATTGCTAAAATATATGTATGATATGATTGTTATTATTAAAAAAAATATATTTCAAATGCACAATGGGTTCAAACAAAATCGATTTGTGCTAGGATTATATTATTATTATATCACATATTACATAAATATCTATTGCAAATTAATGTGATATCTAATAAATATCTATTTCCAGAAATATAAAATAATTGTAATTACCTTCATTTGATTAAAGTCTTGCAAAGTTTCCGGAGTTTTCATAAATATTATATTAGCACCAACCAAATTTTCAATTTTACCATTAGAATCAAGTTTGTAACATGCTATAACAACGCCTTGATCAAGCGAGTATTTCCATAGCGTTAGAAAATCTTGCACGCCATCTGGATCTGTATCTTTGATTTCTGAAGAGAAATTTCAACAATAGCAGTACCGATATACGAAACAACGTATGAAGTCAAAAGTGAAAAAGATGAAGATTACTCAATGATTTAGAGCACGGCTCTTCAGCTAGAAAATGTGTGTACATGAGTTGAAGTACTTCTTGACGTCTCTTCTCGTCGTTTGGGACATCTTGTATAGAAAACTTAACAGGTTTTTTCGTTCCATCGTTTAATGTTTCATAGCCATCAACGACTTTCCAAACATTTAACGGGCCAGACGGTCGAGTCCATTTTGGTTTCACACTCATGACTTATAAAACGCTTAAAAAACGATAAAAAACGATTTTTGCAACACAGAGAAAGTTAATAAAATAAATATTAACGGTGAATTCATAAGTGGAAATAAAATAATTCTGTTATACAGATCCGTTTGTTTTAACCAAATCTTTGATAACGTTTTGTCAGTATTGACTTTACTGACTTCATTCAGCCTTATTTAATATATAACTATATTTTAATTTCTTTATATACAATGATATATAATGCAATTTAATTTTAACCTTTAACAGTAAAAGTTATTTATGACTTATACAGATAAGTTACAAATAATTTGAACTACTTTGATTCCATGACTTAGAGGTTACCTCTGAATATATGCTGGTGATTCTGATTAATATTAACGATGAATTATCATTTTCAAATCATCATAATTACAGATTTTTTTTAAGTACTGTACACTTAAGAAACATAAACTAATAAATGCATAAATAAATTCTAATATTTTTATCGCATCCTAAGACAAATACAGAATACTCACTGGAGTATTCTCCTGAATCTCGTGTACATATTTCATATAACTATACAATTACTTATTGTCTTAATATGTAAAAGACCAATTGCAAATAAACTTGGTGCAATAAGAAAAATTACTGTACACGTTATAGCAAAATGAAATTCAAAGAAAGGCGATTGATATAATTTTTTATTATACTCAGTTTATTTGATAGACCACGTACATATACTTACAGTTTAAAACATGGTAATGTCGATTCAAAGTAGTGATGAAAACTAAGAGAGCACTGTATCTATATGTTGTAAGATAATACTCTCGATTCTTTTCGTTGCCTATCAACTGCTCTTATATATCTCGACATTTTCATACTGACTATGAACATATCAAGGATAAATATATTTTTCAATAACTCGTTTATCGGAGTAGATAATCGGTAATATTTTTTTATAATATCTGATAACGTAGTAAGATGAAAGAAGACAAATGAAAAATTTTAAATATTATTATCTAGATATATTGTATGTTATCCATAGGCACGCAATATTTTCTGCTGCAAAATTGCAGTTTTCTTTCGGCTCTATATTTAAATGTGAATATCTTTAAATCTGAAGAAGAGTTGGGTTCAACAGAGTAACCTCTAAATTGCCCATTGATACCATAGTAACGAGTCAGATCATACAATGATTAACTATATCTAGATGAAATTAATTTTAATAGGAGATTTTGTTGATACACGTATATATTACTCTTATAATATATTATAATGTAGAAAATATATTTTACATGGTCGATTGTGATTTTATAAAAAAATCTCTTTTATGATTTATATTCACGACTTTCAAATCATGTACAAATATTGAATTTTACGTGTCATGGACAATAGCAAACAATTTTGCAAACGTTATCAGTCTCATCTTAATTTTTGAGATATATGACTTTCATAGGGTCATAAAATATGTATAATGAATATTAATGAAAAATGTCATTTCATAAACTTTTAACTTCTACTTTACACTTAACGATCTTGCAGAATATAAAACGCAAGAAACGATATATTATCTTTCTTAATTTAAGATACTGCAAAAAATAATCTATGAACAAAATAGTAACGAAATATAATAAATCATAAAGTATCAAACACCATCATACTAATCGATACAAAATTCGGAATTTGCTTTGAACGTTGAATTATTTTCCATTTCAATAAGTTATTGCTAAAATATTTTACTGTGCAAAATGAATTTACATTTACGTTAGAATGGAAATAATAGTACATTACGTTAGTATAAATAATAGTAATATACTATTATATTCACATTGCTTAAATAAAAATATGTTTCGCCTTATCTAAAATCATTTTTGAACCTTTAACTATTACAATATTCACTCGTGAATGTAAGCGATACATGTTATTTCTCATTGAAATGAAGTAACCATAACAATAATGAGTGTTTATAATATAAATAATTGTAATTCAGAATTTTGATAAGACTGCGCAACTCATTTTATACAACTAGATATACTTTCAAGTTTATCGGGGGACTGCCAATTTCAGGAGTAAAAGCAAGATGCTAAAATGTATGACGCCAAATATCGCATTCAGGTTCGATAATATTTATTTTACATACAAATGTGTATTTTGTTTTCTACAACTTTTATTTGTGTATTTATCCTGTGTCAGAACTTGCGTAAATACTTTTCTATTGATAACTCTTAAGGAAGTCTCTTCATCATTATTTTAGCATATTTCGAATCAATGTTGGGAAATTTTGGATTGCCTTCGTTATCCAAAATATCCGCAAACTCGACTGAAACCCCATCTTCAAAGCCGACCCGCTCCGCTTGAATTTGTGAAGCCTCAGCGGAGAAAAACGTTGCTGTGGCTTTAAAGCCGTATTTCTTAGCCATAGGTGACCTACAAATTATTATTTAGTGTAAATAAACTGTGTGACCAAAGATCATAAGAATATAATGTCAAGTAATTTTTATGAGTTCGATATAATATGGTACGTACCTCGCATCCAAAATATGAAGTCCTAATTTTTGACCTCGAAAAGCAGGTAAAATGCTAAGGCTTATCGACGCGATGTATTTATCAACGTTCAAAGCTTTATAAACATCAGCTCTGCGTGATAAATCCTCAAAAGTATCCCAAATTTTATTGAAAGCTGGTGATTTGAAAGATTTCTGAAATCAACTCATAGTAAAATGTATAAAAACATTCACTCGTGAATGTAAACGATACATATTATTTCTCATTGCAATGAAGTAACAGTATATTGCTTTCAAATGTATGGTATAGAAATTGTTTTTGGATTTAGACGAAATAACTTGGTAATTACCAATTTGATAAAATTATTACAAGTACTTCGTGTATTTACCTTCATTTCATCAAAATCTTTTTCAGTTTCTGGAGTTTTCATGCAGAGTGTATTAGCGCCGACCAATTTATGAATTTCACCATTAGAATCAAGTATGTAACATGCTATAGTAATGCCTTGGTCGAGTGAGTAGTTCCATAAAGTTAGATAATGTTGTTTGGCATCTGGATCAGTGTCCTTGATTTCTATGTTGAAATATTTAAGTGAATTATAATCATGAGTCCATTGTGGATTTTGAGTGAAAAGCAGATATTAAATGGCAAAAAACGTACCTAACGATTTACAGCATGGTTCTTCGGCTAGAAAATGTGTACACATCAGATCAAGTACTTCCTGTCGCCTCTTGTCATCGTTTGGAACGTCTTGTATTGAAAATTTTGCAGCTTTTTTTGTTCCATCATCTAATGTTTCATAACCATCAACAACTTTCCATATATTCAATGGTCCCGGTGGTCGTATCCATTTAGGTTTTACATTCATGATTAATATCGACGTTTAAAATTTATATCTAAATCAAAGTATTATTTGATAACAACTGACTTCCCAACAAATACGTAATAATTTTGTTTACCATTGTTTATGAGAGCAAATATACGACAAATTGATATTTACGAAGAAATATTACTATATAAAAATATTATAAAAATTACGTTCCATAAGAATGTATAGTATCAACAAATTTATGAGAAGAAAAATGCCAAGAATAAGAGCAGAAATTATAAAACTTATTAGAAATAAGCTAACGTAAGATTACTTACGTTTACTAAAAACTTTGTCTCAAAGAATGATTTAAAGTATAGAACTTCAATTATTAAAATGACCTATTTCAAACTATTTTTTGCAACTACACACTCGATATCCCCTCGCTAGCTGCACTGCTACTGATGCAACTGCAACTGTGGTAATTGATTCCGACTAACCATCAATTTAAGAGTTAAACGAATCGCTCACTATACAATACTAAAGCCTTGAAAAAATTCAGCTTATTGGATAACGTATTGCGTCAAAGCATAAAAAAAGATTTTCCAGTGACTGTTGCAAAGCACATAGATTCGTCTTTATCATTTCCTGTCAATACAAAATTAACAAAGTTATTAAAATTGTATTAAATTAATCATAATTCATTTAGCACATAATTTTATCGATTGCAAACTTATAATCAACACGATTGAAATAATAGTGCTGTCTCTTCAAACTTCCCAAATGAAAGATCAATAAGAGATGAACGAGTGTTTTTACAATTTTCATTCCAAACATGATCGTGTCCTTCAATCTGGTTCTTTTCGGTCCAAACAAATGAAGGATCTATCTTTGCGAATTTGCACAATATTGAATACTGGCGTCAAAAAGTTATTTGTCATAACAATTCAATTGGGTTTTCAGACAACCTTGTGTATTTTATTACTTTATTTTTGTAAATATTATTTCAAAATGGATTTCTTTGTTTTAATAAAATCCGTTATTTATTCTAGACGATATTGAATACACGACGTTATATGAATAATGAGTATTAATTCGTTTATTTAAATAATATTCATTAAATATATACGCGTAGATAAGTTGTACCTCTAGTACCGCAGTTGACAGCGGTCCGGGTCATAAGTCTACGAGGGTGGTCCGATAAGTACTTAGCCTACAAAAGAAAAACAAAAATTTTGGAAAAATGGCGTTTTAAACAACACGGATACATCAACGTGGAATGTCGTATTTAGTTGCTTTTGAGCGAGATCAACTCTTCCTATGATTAACTTTGTTCGAGGTAAGTGTGAGATGGATGTCGATTATTAAAATATATTTAGATATGGAATAAGTCAAATTGGTAAAAGGGAGAGTCGCCAATTTCGTCCTGAATATTTCATAAAGCACTCGTCGATATCACTTATTTGAAAAGACCTACATGTCATCGACCTCAGCATTGCAATCAATTTTTGAATCTTACGGTATATGCCAATGAATCGGAAACAATTCATCCTGGCTTTCCACCGCTCGTCGGTTTTTTTGTGGTTTTTCTCGTGTGCAACTGCTACCCACTAAGCTCGAAAGAGAAATCTCGTCAAATATTCTCTCTGTTGTGAGTCGTCTCTTTATAAAGGTTACAGCGAATTTATTTTTAATTTTCCAACTTGTGAACGCCATCCAAGTAACACTTGGATTTTGATGGCTGCATTTATTTCGAAAATTAAATTTTAACTTAAGAGAAATCCCAATACATACGTCAAGTGTATGCAAAGATATTAATGGAGAAATTTATGGAGTTCGTGTAATAATCTTATGAAAAGAATATGGTTCGATGAATTAATTTGGTAAAATCGCATTGGTTAAGTTCCAACTTGAGTGTTATAACCAATACTAAATTTTTTTAATTTCACTCACAACGACAACATAGAGCTGTCATTTATTTTCAGTTGTTATCTATATAAAAGAATTTTTTATTCGCAGTTATCTGACAATAAGATTTTTTAGGTTTGATTGCAAAACTTAACTATAAAGCATCGGTTTAGTCAAACGAACCGAAACTGGATCGATGCTATTTTATAAAAAAAATGTTTGATCGAATAATTTTTTGCCGCATCATGATATGTATTCAAAGCAAAAGAAAATAAATATTTTCCTGTTGGAAATAATTTTCGCGTAGAACTGTTGCACGCAGTTATTTGCAGTATAAAATAGTTTATAAACGTCAGGTTTTAGACACGTATAACAGTTATTAACATTTTTTTTCTGTCAGTAATAATTATATACAATTATTAACAATTATAGACAATTTCGGAAATGCACCTTTTTGTTATAAAAAAAATTTGCTATTAATAACAGCTATAAACAGTTTATCAATTCCGAAAACGTAAATAATTGTTTACAACTGTAATAAATAGTCAGTTATCATATATAATAATGAAGAATTATTGAAAACACTTATATATTGTTATTATCATTTATTTTTTTTGCTTATAAGTACTTTTTTCGGTCCGGTATTGGCAAATTAATAATTACAATTAACTGCAAATAATAGTTACTAATTTTTTATTCAATAGGTAATTGGTAATTACTATTATTTTCAGTTATTTATAATTATTTGCATCTATTATTTCTCAAAATCAATTTGTTTTGGTAAGTAAAAATGTAAATAACCGTTATTAACTGAAAAAAACTGTTATAATTTAACAATGACAATTTTTTTAACAGAAAATAACTCTTTATAATTCTTATGTGTCTAAAATCTGACATTAATAAACAGTTATAAATTGTAAATAACTATTAGCAAATGTAACTAACTGATGATTTCTATTTATTATAATTTTATGCGTAGGTTATTTCCGACAGAGTTCCATTTACTAAAGATGCTTTAGTATGTTACATTGAGAGTGTAAAGAGAACTTGCTATAACGATTTTCATGAAAAAATATCCTATTAATTGTATTTATATTGTGTGTGTGTGTTTTGAAAAAAATCAATGGATATCATGAGTTTCATAACTATCTTTAGTTATACATACAGACATTTGGTTTGAAACGAATTTTCTTACGTGCTACGGTTGTTTTCAAATCAGCTTCTTGATCTTTTAAAATGAGCCCTCATACATCTAATTTCATGATATCTGACTCAAGTTTTTGCATTGTGAAGTGAATTATTTATCTCGGCATGCTATATTTTCGGGAAACTTTTTCCAGTCTAAAATTCTAGCTGTTTGAGGAAAGCACATAAAATACACGCAATAAAATAATCTTGGTATAATTCTAAATATTCATTAGGTTTTTTTTCTCAGCTTCAAAGGTTAATGGCATGAAAAGACATGACTAGTTGTCTAATATTTTTGTAACACAGATTACTCTCACAAATTTTCTACAGTTTGGTTTCCCACAAGCCGGGACCTTTTCTTTCACTATATGACACGAAGCTCTAAAAAGTATTAACATTAATTAGAGTTTTTTTGTATAATTAAGTCGGACGCGATATATTATACATTAAACGCGATAAAAAATGTCGGTGGTTGCTGAAAAAACCACAAATTTAATTTTATAGTTTTAGTTTATTACAAATGTAAAAATTAGAAACATAGAATTATTAAAATTATATAAAGTAGTAATGATTCAAAAATTCATCAAGGACGTGGAGTGTCATTTTGATTTTGATCATTAGCATTGCATTGATTGGCATTCTTAAAGTTAATATGTTCAAAATAACAGTAACATCTCTACGAAGCTTTGCATATGGAATACATAAAGGTTCATTTGTTTTTATTTAAAATGTAAGATTAACAAGCAGTTGGTCAACTTTTATTCCAATTTTTTGATCATGAGCCTCATATCTGGTGTTTCTATGTTTGGGTAAACGGGAGATCCATCTTTGTGCACTAAATTTGCATAATACTGAATGTGCGCCACTTTAAATCCTGCCTGCTCGGCCAGAGCTTGTGACACTGACGTCGTGAAAGTCGATGCTGTAGCTTTTATGCCGTAATACCTTCCAATATCCGTCCTGAAAAGCGTGTGCATATATTCTTAGTTTCATATTTCCAATTTTATTTCTTTACACTTTACTTCAATATTTCAAAGCTATATGATAATAATATGATAAATTATTGTACATCAAGTGTCTGATAATCGAAATCACCACTTGCAAAATGTCAATTATAACGACTTATTTTACAGCTCATGCTATTTATATGCTATGATTTTCTAGATTTACATAACAATTTCAGTGGCCTAACTTGATTTCATATAATTTGATGATATTGAGTCATTTTCCAAAGCTATGCCAAATAAAAGGTGTCAGTTATCTTTTGTAATGTATCATGAAGCTGACATCTTTATGGCCACGCGTAATCTTCGTAATGATCTTCATACTTATAGATACGTACCTCACTTCTAACAGGCGCTGCGAAAGTTTCTGTCCGCGATAAGGAGGCGCGACACTCAAGCCAACCGAGTAAATGAACTTATCAACTCCATAGATTTTGCAAACATCTGCTTTGAGGGATATCTCGTAATACATTTTAAACAATCGTATTGCTAGGGGCGATGAAAATTTTTGCTGCAAACAGATTAGTATTTTTTATCTTGAAGATGTGATCATAATCAGTTTTAAGATACAAAAAAACATCAAATAAAGAGGGTACTTAGAAAAATATCGATAAATCTATCAATACACGAAATGCATTTGTCAATGTGGAGTATAATAGATATGTCAAGTGCGAATGCATAATGGATATGCGATTTCTATTTTTAACTAAAATTAAAAAAAAATACAGATTATGAAGATTGGTAAAAATTGATCGTCACTGACTCACGTGCATGAATAATCGATTCCAGATAACGATTTTTACAAAAAATCGAAGATCTTATCATCACCAGCATTTCGAAACACTGTTTTTTGTTTACAAGTTGTTAGCATTTCCTTTATCTCCGGCGCAAATTCAGACGTAAAATTCGAGAAAAGATTACGGCAAATAATTTTTATCAGAAGCATGTAGATTTTGGAAAATATTTAAAAACAAACTCGAATAATTGCATAATCAGGTGAATCGAGGCAATTTGAATCATGTGCGAAATGCAGCTAATACGCTCGCGCTTACCACGATGTCCACCAAATTGAGCTCCGAATAATCCGTTAAGACTAGTAGCATGTTAACGGCAGCTAATCTTGATAGCCTTCCGAAATAATCGATGGTAAATGCACCAACCACTAAGCCTTGATTCAAGCAGTGCCTCCATAGTGCTATCATGTCTGACTTTCGTTGTGGGTCATCTTTTGTTTCTGCAAATTTTTCATCAATTTCATTTTGAAGATTTAATGTGCAGTCAACATGCATGGATAAGATAACGGACAAATTAATAGTTTTTTGTTATTTTGTAAAAATTGGAACGATTGTTAAAAAGAAAAACTACATTTCATAACTGAACATTAAGAAAAGATATTGATTCACTTTCAGCTATTTGTTTCATAATTTTCTTTTTTGGTAGATGTTTAAGCGTTGAATATCATCCGAAGATTTCTATTCAAAGACCAAAAATTCTTCTACATACGCATCATATTTATCGAAAAGAATATTATATTGTATATTTACCATTTCGAAACGCTTGCCTTGGATAATTTAAGTATTTTTTTCGAGCGAGAGATATTGTCGTTATTTAGAAATGAATCACCATCACAATACGAAAGCATGCAAATTGATCGTGACCACGTGAAACGTAAAAAATTATATCTCCGTGAATCACGTGCGAAACGGCACTTGACCGTAATGAACGAAAAAGTGGATACATATTTTTTCCAACACTAGCAATGCTTTCATCACAAACTACAGTAAAAAAAAGTAAAAAAGTAGCATCATACTACACAGAAAACTTACTTAAACTTTTACAAGCTGGATCCTCGTTCATGAAGTAGGTGCACATATGTTCGATGACCTCGTCGTGTCTATCCGGAGGGATTTCTTGCAAGGATATTTTTATAGGACTACAGGTACCGTCGTAGAGCATCTCATAGCCATCGATAACCTTCCAGATATTGAGCGGTCCAGGCGGCCGCAACCAGTCCAGCTTTGTTGCTTGGCCGGACATCTTATCGTCTCTAAAAAAAAAAAAAGAAAGAAATTTATTGCGTCAACCTCAAGTGAAACTCACTTTTGTGGCTCTAACAGGTCGGGTATTGAGTATGTAGATATGCAAATTGTTAATTTTTCGAAGAGAGAAATAGGAAGAAATTTTTATTTATTCTATGACTTTTAACTTTTTCGAGATTAATCTTGAATTCACATGCAGTACTATTCCATTCGAAACAGTCATATCATCGTTGATATAATTGGTACCGGTTTTTTCTTAGGCGCTTGATGGAAAACATATCTCGCAGACAATTCTAAGGGGAATTCCGTAATAAAGAGTTCTTAAAAATATCAACTCTAGATAGATGTTATCTCGATCAGAATAACCTAAGTCAATTCATTTTTACGTTTGACGGTTCAGCTTAAGTTTTGTTGTTTACAATTTGAGTATCTAATAAATATTTGTTGTGGATTCTAACATTAAAAAAACCTTCACTTGACTTCAATTTACCTACACTTTGTAGGTAAATTGGTCAATCATATTTTGGCAACGTAAACGATTTTTTTCGTACCGTCGTAAATGATAATTTGTTCAACTTCATTTCAATTATTCACTTTAAGTGCTTGAACATTTTACGAGTATGCTATAAAAAGAGTATGCTATAAAAGAAATAGTGGCAAAGCATTTTCAAGGTAAACGTTAAAACTTATTGACGTTAACGTACATTTTTTTCTTCTATGCGTTCAAGTTTTTTCTATCGCAAATCCCATTATACGTGAGAAAAAAATCTATTTTAAAAAATGACTTACAGAGATCAGAAATCGATCGGTTGACAACTGTCGTCGAAAAAAGAGCTTCGTAGCTTTATTAAATTTTTCCGGGAAGTGAAATTGGTAAGAGCAAACGATTAAGCCGCACTGGGGTAACGTTCTAGCGCATTGATAATAAGCATGATATTTTTTACCCACCTATTTCGACTGTATCTTCCGACGCGTGTAGCACGACAAAAATCAAATGGTAGAAAGAAAATTCAAAGTTTTTCTCAAATGTAAGCTTTGTTCCAGGACTGCAAGTATTCCTTTTGTTTTTCCATTTAAGGTGAACAAAGTGCGTATCACGCGCAAGTGTGCAACGAGCTAGACACGCGGACACGTTCCTCACTCGACGACCGAACTCTCTCGTCTGCGAGAAAACACACAATTAATGCTTTTTGATGACCACCGGTCGTCGTGTGCACACACACACCAATACACTATATGACACATGTATACCTACAAGATGATAATGCGATTCCAATTATATGTTCGAGAACGTGCCAGCCATTTTATTCGTCGTTCTTTTTTTGGGGGGGGGGGGGGAGGATTGTCGATTTTTATTAGTAACTTAAGATCGTTATTTTTGAAAAGTTTATTTATCGCAGTCGCGGTTGTCATTTAAAATTCAAATTCGGAAATCTACATAAATCTATAATACTCCGGCTATTTCAAGACTTTCTATATGTAGAATAAAATTCGATAGAAATTAAGTCAATAACACATCGTTCTTATAACTCGATCTTTTATCAAATTCTTGTCAATCAAATGAGCGCTTTTTACACGTAGTCGCCATTTTGTTCGAACGCGTTACATATTTCATTCTCTGAAATTTTTCATTTTCAAAGCTAAGAGATATTGCTGTTCGCTCAGTTACCGTATTCTCTAATAACTTAGTAATTATCATTTTAATGCCGTCTTTATACAATTCAGTTATAAAATTTATTTTATTATAATCACAACTTCCAATGTATACAATAATAAACGTTCAAAAGATCTTGAGAATGGCAAATTACAATAATAATGGAAAAATCTTTTTTTAATTATGATGTTTTTTAAATATCACAACGGGGGAATAAAAATTCGTAATCCAATACGAAATTTATTACTGTAGATTTTTTATTTCAACTCTCATTTTACATACTTACGTAAAAAAGAACTTTTTTTTATTAGACTCATCAGTCAATAGTTATTTGCTGAGCAATATCTAAACTTGTAATTACCATTATTCGAAGATGTTAAAAGAAACCAATTACAAAACAAATGAGATTTGATTGAACCAAAAATAAAGAATAATTCAACTTTACGATCATAAATTAATTGATGGTAACGTTTAAATGTTTAATTATTTCGATTTATTGCGCGAAGGCAAAGCTTTATATATTTACTCAGTATATTCTAATAAATATACCGAGAAAATTCTTTTCGCGAAAAATGCTTTGCAATAAATCAAACACTGTTTACGAAGTCATGTAAATGACGATTTTCATCAACATTATGAATATTTTCTATTATTTTCTTGGCGCTGAGAATTTATTAAAATTTTCGTTAATTATAAAATGTATCGTAAATTTTTTTCACGTAAACTAGAGTCACGTATCGTTGTATTATAAACGAATATTAAGTCAATAATATTATGTAATATTATTTAATAATATTAAATAAAAGCCTTTAAAAATGTATGTCAGAAATTCCATAAATGTATATTTTACAATTTCATTTAATATATTTTATGATTTATATTTGATGCACTTTGAATGCACTGCTTAAATTTGAAAAATAATTTTTTCATACTACATTCTTACGCAACTCATCTCGTGTATTAATATCCATTGTTTGGTATGGAATTCTCCGTAAAAATTAAAAAATGCAATGTCTTTCTATCAATATTTGTGCTTCGTCATCAGAACTCTAGTGTACTTATTGGCACTATACTATTATATAATCATCAATTATAAGGATCAAAATTAAATGTCAATTTTTAGTAAACAAAAAACGGTAATTAAATGATGTTATGTCAAATGTAACGATTTAATATCAACAAATTGTATCCAATTTGAATACATTTTTTTTCATAAAAAATCATGCAAAACATTGTAAAAATAAAGGAATAGTTTTCCCGACTGCTGATAATTTTTCAAAACACAAACAATAAATACGATTTGTTTGTTCTTAATCTGTTTAACTGATATTGGATTGCGAAAAGTTACGAAAAAAAAAATTATGAAGAAACTCTCATTGTTGCAGTAACAACTTGACTTGGCTTCCTATACTAAACAAACCATATCTTTCATCAAAAAAATCCACTAGCAATGCTTTCATCACAATGAAATAAAAGTATAAAATAAAAATAAAGTATAAGGAAAAAAAGAAAGAACAAATAGTAGATTACATATCTAGGCCGAGAAAGCATTGGTAAATCCATAGCACATGAGAATTGACATCAAGGCGAAGTTGAGGTTGTCAAATACGTGCTATAGACTTACCAATTTTCCGGACATGATACTATTTTTTAGTCCAGCGAAACCGAGATTAGCACATTACCGACCGAGCTGCGGCCGAGAAATGCTACTTTCGGGCCGCTGGACAAAAAGAAATCACGGCACTAACAATAATGAACAAGCCCAAGAAATAAATGTAGTCTCAATCAATCGGCTAAAATTTGATGAACGGTAGCGGACGGTGGTGACAATGTGGTCCCAGGAAAAGATGCGCACGTACAATTGTATAAACGATATAAGATAATAATGCGACATGCACTGGTACTTGTGTAAGACTGAGTAAATAGTCGCCACTGGACAATTACATGATAATCAGTGTGGCACTCACACATTGGATTTCTAGCCGCTCTAGTGATACACTTTTTCCAGACGACTGTTCTCTCAATTACGCACACACATACCGACGCTCAATTCGATAATCAATTCCAAGCTTTGGACGACCGATAACTCGCTAATCACGTACGTCCCGATAACAAGAAAAAGAGCTTCGTCGTTGAAGGATTCCATTGTTAATTCGACAATTTTTGGATTGTTTTACTACCAACAAGTATATCATATGCGTGACTCGTGCTTTTAGCCACTTATTATCGCGAGTATTTCGTTACATATAAAACAAAGAAAAATGATTTTAGGGATTTCCCGTTTGTATATAATCTTTTTATAGATTTGATATGGATTTATACAAGAAACAAGCTTTAGATGCGAGTTATTTGTAAATTATATATCTGAATACACAACAATTTCTTTCTAAAATCGTTATCTTTTATTGTTTTTATGATTCAAAACGGAAACTGCTTTCCTATTACTGTATAATCTTAGAAAGATTCCGTAACCACCTATATCAATTTATGACTTAAGTTATTTTCTAAACGTATATTATTAATTGTAACATTAAATTAAAGTAACCTATCTATTTTTACTTAAAAAATCGGTTTTGAAATCGTAATTATCATTTGCTAAATTCACTTCTCCCAACACGTCTGCCAAGTCTGAAGCTTTTTTTGCTGCAAATAAATTATACACATATTTATTGATATCACCATCCTAATATTTTTACATAACATTTTCACTGACCTGTTCTTGCAGCTTGCTTCTTCTTCTTTTTGAATTGTAATTTCTTTATTTGATTAAGTTTTTGATTTCCTTCAATTTCAAACAGAGGATCGATTTTTTTCCTTCTTTCAGTAGGCAAAGCTTTGTTTCCTTCATTTTTCTTTTTCTTTTTTCCTTTCTTAGTATTCACTTTGACCTCCAGAAAAGAAATTAAATTATTTTTATTTTTGTTTGACATCTTTTACCATCGATTGAAACAATAAATATCAAGGGTCACGACAGTGGTCTGCACATGAATACCAGAGTACATGAATACTTACAGTTTCAGCTCCCTCGATATCCATAGTGGCTTCAACAGGTCCAGTACTTTCTATTTTTAAAGGATTAATTTCAGTTTCAGAGTTATCCATAGCTATTTCATCTAAAATCTTCTTCTCTTCTGTGGCAAAATTTTCAATATCAAATTCTTTCAAAACTGAATCAACTATACTAGCAGATACATGGCATGATCTGTCTTCAGGTGGCACAGTGTAGTATCTAAAACAAATATTTAAAGTTAGAAATTTATAAATAAATTATAAATTAGCAAGCAATAGTCCAAAGAATATATAGAAAATACAAAATTAAAATACTTTACCTTATTTTTCCTGAATTCCAATCATTTAAAATACCACGAGCTGCAGCCAAAGTATCAGGTATACCACCTTTTCTAAATCTTCCCATACGAGTAGCTTTTTTTGCGAAAAATTCTTCTGGTGTAGTAAATTCATGTACATCGTATAATTCCATCAACTGATGGGTTGAAATACGCTTTAAAATTGCACTAGCAGGAGTGAATGGATCTCTCAGCGATTCAATTTTCACAGCATTTTTTAAAGCAATTGATGAAGGATCTGCAGTTTTTGAATTCTCAAATACTATTCCAGGAGAATCCAAGAGTTTTATTTTTGAATCAAGCTGAACAACCTGCATTGCTTTGGTAACCCCTATAAAAATACAAATTTTATGTCTGATATCTTCAAATTATAATTACTAAACCATTATCAATTACCTGGTGTATTTCCAACATTACATGCCTTACTCCTTTTCAATGAATTAATAACACTAGATTTACCAACATTAGGTAAACCTACTACACCGACTCTTATACTAGCCTTAGTATTTCCAACGCTTCTGCAATAATTTCCAAGTAAAGATAACAATAGTTCTGCTCCAAAACAAGTTCCTCCTTGAATATTTTCTTGACTTTTTTGTCCCAATTTCCTTCTACCTAATCGCTTTGACTGATCTTGTGTTGAAGATTTGAAAGCAACAGCTGGTAAACTCTTACGTAAATATCTAAGCCATTCATCTAGATTTTTTCTTGGAATAAGATCTGCTTTATTTAGTACAACAACAAGACGCTTGTTTCCTTTTGCTAATTGTACAGCCTCTTCAACTTGTTTGCACCTTGTCCCAAGCGGATCCCTAGCATCTACAACTTCGAGAATTACATCAGCTTCATCTACCACTTTTTTAAATTCTTTGTAATAAGTTTTGAGAGAATTTTCTTCTTTCTTTTCTAATTTTCCTGCAGTAGTTGCTGTAGATGTACTTTCTATAGCATCATGTTCCATTTGTTTACTTTCTGCATCAGCAACCAAGCCTATCAATCCAGCTTTGGCCTGTTCTTCCTTTTTACGTTGTTTAGCCTCTTCTTTTCTTTTTTGCTTTTCTTCTTCTTTTTGTTTTTTCAAAGCTTCGACTTCTTTCAAGATATCCTCTTTGAAAGGGCATTGATTAGGTACTTGAATCAGCTTTTGTTTTTCTAAAAATAGTTAAAAATATTTTTAATCTAATATTAAAGTTTATATATTAAATACTCAAGAACAAATAATATTTACTATTTTTTGGATTCTTCTTTGCTTCTTTTTTTATTTTTCGATTGTGTTCTCTTACTTTCTTTTCAATCTTGTATCGTTTGCGTGCTTGAATTCTTTTGCTAGGCTTTTCTGTAAATAATTATTTCTTTGTAAATTTAGCTTAACACCCATTCGATTTGATTGAATTATATTAGCAATAAAATTTTATTTCAGTTGTTCAATTTCATGTGTAAGTTAATATTCCTAATTACTCTAAATACTTACTTAAACAAAACTTGGCCATTTTTTTCTAGTTAATTTTTTAATCAAATACTCAAATAAAACTTATCAATATATGGTTTCAATTAACTTTCAATGATACCTCAAGTTCACAACAACCACGTGCGGTCTGGTTTAGTTTGGTTATGTTGTATACTTTTTAGAACATACGAATTGCAAGTATAGGCGGCAGCACCGCATTTTGGCAACAATTGTTTCCCACATATATTTTGAAATTTAGTACATTACGATACAAGTGCGGGAAAGTAGAGTATTGTCTCCTGTGGCGTTTACGCCCAAGCGAAGCGAGGGTGGAAAGGTACTCGAGAACATTTTCCCGCACATGTGCCGTACCATATTTTTTTATACGACGTGTGGAAAGTGCGATTTTCAACGCACGTTTTCTGCCGAGCGTTCGGGAAAGACGCACTTTGCACACGGAGTGTCGAAATATAAATTTAATTTTAAATGAATACATTAATTTGTAAGTATAAGCAAAACTAACTATACTTTCTGTAGATAGCGTATTCGGATAAAGCACGTAAAAAATAATACTTATAGAATTGTAATTTAGGTTTTGTTAACTATTATGTATAATTTCCGAGAACCACGACCAGGCATTTTTTTTTAAATTTTCAATTTTTCTATACGTTGAGAAACGATAATTTCTACATGAATTGAGATGGAGTTTTTAATTTCACGTCTCATTAATTATTGAAGATTACATCAAAACTTTACTAAATGTAGAAACTAGGTACATACATTTTTACCTCGGTGGAAATATTGTTGTAATATTTATTTATATGGTTAATAAATGATGATGATGATTATCATTAATAATATAATTAGTCAGCGGCACAAGATCATCAATTTGATGACTTAATCTTCATTTTTATGATTGCAAGACTTGAGATTTCGTAAAAATAAAATAAATTTGTTATATGCTTTAGTACTTTGACAATATTAACATATAACTTCAATATTTTTAAAAGACAATTAAAGCCCATATAAAAATCAGATACACGACATTAATTAATTAATTAATTAATTGTTAATTAATTAAACATTAATTAATTGTTATTATCTATATTTTTATTTACCTAAGACAATTAACAATTTTTATTAAATCAGTTAAAAATGGCGAAGATGCTGGAATTTCAAATAAATAAGAACTTGTTTTCTCAAGTATTTTTGCGTGCGGAATATCACAAGTTGCCGAAAGTCGGTAGTGGGAATAATAATTAACAATATGAGGATGGAAAATCGACAGTATTATTCGTTTTGAAGTTGTCCACAGTGGCAAGATGTAAAAGAACACTCAAATAATTCTTAAAAACTAAAAAAATTTTTAATTTTATCTACCTTATTTTTTAACTAAGTAAAACATTTAGAATTTTTTTTTATTTTTCGAGTTTCGAGTTCACAAACACACACACACACACACACACACACACACACACACACACACACACACACACACACACACGATGGAGACTATGTATTGTATGTCACCATGGTAAACACACATTGTGACCGGCACGGGTCTCGCGCCACTTCATGCTTAAAGAGGGAACAAAAACAAATATTACATTATAAAATAAATAGTAGTTAGTTTGTAAAAAATAAAACCTTGTTTGTGAACAAAACCTATACTGAAATATGTCTAGCACTAGTAGTGTAACTACCAATCCTTCAACTTTGCTACCTCTTGGTAGGTTGTCACTTTTGTTGCTATAACCTAACAATTAATTATTTGATTATTGTTTTTGATTGAAATACACTTATTAAATTATTTTAGGATACTTTTAAATTGTTATTCAAATTTTTTAATATTTGACTACTGAAGTATTGATATTATTCATTTATTATCACTATTCTTTTCAGAATTAGTAGACAAGTGCATAGGTTCAAGAATACACATTATCATGAAGAATGATAAAGAAATTGTAGGAACACTGAAAGGTTTTGATGATTTTGTTAATATGTTGCTGGATGATGTAACGGAAAGTGAAGCCACTCCCGAAGGAAGGCGAGTCACAAAGTTAGATCAAATATTGCTTAATGGAAATAACATTACTATGGTAATTTTCAAATATTTGTATACTTAATGAATTTATCTTGAGATAACTTTTTCACCAAATGATTTTTGAATTATGGTTTTGCAGCTTGTACCTGGTGGAGAAATGCCAGACGTTTGAAAAATTTTAATCATTAAATATTTTTATACTAATTGGATATAAGGTAATTTAATGAATTAATAAACTTTAAAAAAAGGTACAAATTTATATATTTTTCTATGGAAAACCTAGTAAATTTCTAATTCCATTTGGCTTAAATTTTTAATTATCGTGTTGAGACTAGGTCTATCTTTACTTATCTTACTCCAACTTTGTTCATACATCTCCTTATATTTTCCTCCAAAACCATCATCCAACTTACTGTCTGATGGCTTTTTTCCTTTTCCTGTAAGATATAAAATTGTGTGTACATGTAAACCTGTAAAGGGTCTTTTTCTCGTTAGCATTTGCCAAGCAGTAACACCTAATGAATAAATATCTGACAAAGGTGTTGGCTTATTGCCAGATACAACTTCTGGGGCTGCATAGCCAGGAGTTCCCTAAAAATGAATTTTTTATTTCATTAAATTAATTAATGGATATATTTATAGTATTAACTTACTCAAATTTGAAAATTTTATGTTTGAGGAAGCCAATACTAACCTCTTGTTACAACTTGAATTTGTTTGAAAAACAGAAATTTTTAAATTAAAATAGAAAAAATCATACATGAAAATTTGAAGGATTATATGGTGCATTCATAAATATAGCACTACCAAAATCAGCTAACTTTGGTTGATTATCTGTTCCCATTAATATATTCTTAGGTTTCACATCAGCATGCACAACACCTATTTCATGACAATATTTCAAAGCTTTTGCTATTGATTTCCAAAAATGAATTCGTTCTTTTTTTGAAAGTTCATTCTTGTCAAGAATTATTTGTAGTGAATCGCCACATAATTCCATTGTTATAAGTGTGAGAATAGGTCCTTCTTCTACTTTAAAAACTTTTACTACATTTGGATGACTCAAATAAGCAACTTGTTTTTCTGTTTCAAATAAATTTTTTCCATTATAATTGTGCTTAATAATTTTGGCAGCAACAGGTTCACCTATAACGAAAAGTAATTGCAGTAAACTTTCTGATGTTTTTTAAACATCATTTTTCTGATGATTGGAATATTTTATTATATTTAGTTATAACCTTTGTAATTTGCTTTGTAAACCGTTCCAAATGTTCCATTTCCAAGTATTTTACGAAAGTTGCCTAGAAATCCTTCATTAATAATTTTCTTTCTGTGCGGGGTATCAAGATTGAAAACTGGTGATTTTTCTTGTATTTTTATGATACTTTCAACTGTAAGATTATGTTTTACAGGTGTTTTGGAATAAAGAGTTTGCCTGTGTAAATTAAGATGAATGAAATCATTGATTATTAATATTTTATGAACATGAATCAAATTAAAAAATAAAATGTGATACCTGGTATTGAAAACATTTTGCACTCTTTGTGGTGAAAGTCTATTGAAAACTTTGGCAGCCACTCTTGGAGAAGCCATTAGATTTATTAATGTTTAATAAACTAAATGTGCATAATAATATACATTAAGTTGAAAACTTAGTTTTTATTTTAAACTTAAGTGATCTGTTATTTGATTTAATATGAAGTAAATTAAACATGCTATACCATTTCCAACTGAAAAAATATTGACATATTCTTCTGAGCCAGGATCCAGAGGACATTGAAGGTCAAGAGGCTTTCTATATAAATTGAATTTTCAAATTCTATAGTGTAATAGAATTTCTTTTAAAATGTAATATTAGTTATACAATTATACAATTAAACTATTCTTATTCAAACAAAATAAATTATATGGTTACATTTTAACTGAACAAATATCAAAGCCATTATTAAAATATTTCGTTTTTTATCTATAAAAAAATAGAAACAAGTTCATTAAGAGGTTCATATTTTATTATTCATAATACTGTCAAGTTAACTATATTATTTACAATATTTTTATATCATTTAATAACAATAGAGTTCATCATAATCTCTTGTTACAAGAAATTCATAATGTAATACTTACAATAATAGTAATAACATTTTAAAAGATTCAAGAATAAAGTAATCATAGAAGAATAATATACATACAATTTCAAATCACATATCTTGCTGTGAATGAAAATTATTTCATAAAAAATTCAAATACAATCCATCATTGCAATATACATACATGCATTCTTGTTTTCTTTTCTGAATAGAAAATTTGTTCAAGCTTATAATTGAGATATATTCTTTTATTACCCTGCACACAATAAAAAGAATGATAAAACGAGTGCGTTTGCTTGAAGTTAAGTTTTTTCAGCCACTTTGATAACTATCACAATCAGCTAATAGCAACCTTCATCTTTATTAGTAACTAATTATCAGAATATACATCTGTATTCGTATTTTGTTTTAATAATAATTAGTTGAATGGTTGTACTACGTGATTTTTTAGTACAATCATTTTTTTGTTTCATACTTTTTAACGTATTTGCCAACTTGACAATTGATTTTTCTGCCTTTATTTAGTAAATATTCCTATTGAGCAAAATTTTCTATAGAATGAAAATATGGCTTTTTCAGTTTTCATTTTCAATTTTTTCTTTAATTTATATTTATACATATATGTTGTGTTCTAAAATAGTTTTAAGCTTCCTCACTACAATACTACACATCATACAGCTCATTATCACTTGGTCCTTGTTCACAACATGTAACCTTCGGTACTTTAAATATTCCTAAACATCGTTTATCGCATATCCATGAATTCTTTGTTTGATATTTAAGATACAATGGTGCTACATATACATTTACGAATTTTATAATTGTAACTTTGATTATGACTGAAAATCTCCGATTTTATTTCAAATCCTTTGTAGCATATTTTAGGCAATACATCTTCATCATGAAAAATAGTTTTGAGTGTCGTTACTTTAGAAAAATCTAAGGCTTCTCAATATAGAAAGTTTCATTTTCTCTAAATATTCTATTCATTTTCCTATAAACACAATTTTTATACATGTTTTCAGCTAAAAAAGATTATCTTTGAGATATAATAAAAGTATTTAGAGCAATGAAAAAATATATAGAATCATACAAATTTTGTTTTAGCATTCCACGTATTTTGTAACTAATAATTTCAAACAAAAAATTTTTTTTACTTGTTACTTTTATAAAAATGCTTACAAGTCTTAAAAGAATGCTCATAGCACATAGTAATATTTTTTGTTGTAGAGTTTCTCTTTTTCTTTATAAGAGGAATTCAAAAATTATATTTTCTGATCTTTACGTTGTTGTCTTACGTTTGCTTCTCTATACTTCACTTCTCATACAAGTTTAATCACTATGCAATGGACAGCTTTAAACACGTTCAAAAAGTCCTTAAGCTTTTTATATATATATCTATAATGCTCTCGACTTAAGAGGTAGTATTGATCAAGGTACACATGTTATGTGCTATTAAATTATGATATTCTATAAATAAATTTACATTTGAAAACGTACATTTCATTACTAGAAAAATAATAAATTAATGTTACAAAAAATAATTTATTTTTCGTGTCAACACTAATTGATATGAAATATTGACTGATAGAATTTATTGCAAAATTTCATTGTATCCCGTTTTTAGTTGAAGTTTGAAAACAACTTTTCCATAAAAATAGGCAGTTTTATTATTAATATAAAGTAAGCTGGCAGATTATTTTGGTATTATACGTGAACTTTCAATTTTTCCAAAATAGCATTAAAGTGAAGAATCTAAAAGTAAGTGTTATATAAACTTGAAAAGTACATGAGGTTTGACGATAGAAGTCGAGACAATTTGTTATAATTAACTTTGGCACTCTCCTATTAATTCCTTTTTAACATCTTAGGCACTAATCTGTTTTCGATCATTTTCGTGGAACCTGCTACGCATGATGCTTACCATAGCAGAAAATTGTATTGGATAATATTTCTCTGTAATGCATGATATTTCATTTATAAAATCTGAAAAATATATGAAACCTGTTTGAAAATTTGTTATCGATTTTACATCGCATTTAGGTGATTAATCTTCGCAAGTTCTTTTTACTATGAACGTCTACAATTTTTTTCATTTATAAATACAATTGATGAAATTTTTGATAAAATAACTTGTTAAAATAACAGCATTATAGAGAAACACTTCTGCCAGGCTAACAAAAAATAATAATATGATTATTTACAAGTTCTTATCCACCACTGGACGTTCATTTTCGCTCTATATCCGATACTGATGGAGGTTTCAATCAGAAATGAGCAATTCCAATTCGTAGTTATATATAGAATTTTTAATTGTACAAGTTATAAAAATATTTAAGAAACATCACATTTTCTCTGACACAAAAATGATTTTACATAAAAATAACTAATTACTTTGAACTTTTTGTATTAATTTTTTATAATGTATTTTTCAATGCTTTAAAGATTTGTTTATGCTTACGATATTTACAAAATAAAATACCTAAAAAATGGATTAAAACTGTTGGTTATTTATAAACAACAATGAAATAATACCGCTTTCTTCTTATCGAAAATATTTGTGTGCATGTAATTGAATTATATATAATTAAAGTTCATTCAGTAGAATACTTTAGTTAAACATAAATTTTAAAAAGCTCTTATTATATTCATCGCAAAACTTCCGAAATAATGGTATATAACGTCTGCACTTACGTCACATATCGGAAATAGTTTTTATACATGTAAGCGTGAAAACTTTATTCGCAATCCCATTTCATTTACCTGGTACATTAAAAAATAAATTCTATGTATGCGATTTTAATATTTCGAATTTAAGTGCATTTACATATAAAAATAAATTTAGGTATAGCTTTTCATTTATTAAAATATGTTATGCATGATATCATGTATGATATGCAATAGACATATATACTGAAATTTTATAATATTTTGATTTACAGCATTTGAGCAAACTCAAATTGTTATTGTAAAAAAATAAAACATCGTTGACAAAAATAAAATTTTGTTATTATAATAAAACATTTAATGTACACGTGCCTGACGCATTAATTTCCAGTCCTTCGTGAAAAAAATATAGAGATCAGAGGACAAATTTAGTTAATATTGAAGAGGGAATTTTTCTTATAAAAGGAACAAGATTCCTGTATAACGAAGATTCGTTAAAAAAATATAATAAGGCTATTTGCTTGTGAAAAGAAAATTTATAAAAAATATATCAGTTATCAATAGAAATATTTTAAGATTATTTTTTCAATTTTTATACAGTACGTCATCTGGCAAAACTCTATTACTATTACCCACAGTAAATTCAAAATTAGAAATAGCACCTAGATGTTCCATTACAACTAACATAAATTTACATGGTACTATTCAATAATATCTTTCAGAATTCAAATTACAAATTGAATGACGAAGGATTAAATGTTAAAAATTGACCTGAGCGCATAAAAATATTTCCAATAGTTGTCAGAAAGTTCGGCTAAAACGGCCTTTAAAAAATCAAAGATAACGGAGATAGAGAGAGAGAGAGAGAGAGAACGCGATAGAGAGATAGAGAAAGAGAGACAGCGATAGAGATATATAGATAGATAGAGAGACAGACAGACAGATAGATAAAGAGAGAAAGAGAGAGAGAGAGAGAAAGGAGAAAAAGAATTAGAAATTTTCAGGCACTGGCTTTAACCAGGTAGTGGAGCCTCTTCGTAAAAGTCGGGTTCGTCCTCGTTATCAGGATTTTTACTATCAAGAGCCCTCAATTCGGCAAGACTAAAGAAATGTCTCATTTGTGCCCTGAGTGGTATCATCAATATGAGGAAAAATGGTAGAGCGAGGGCAGCTTTAGTACTTTTGACAGTCCACAGAATCGCCAAACAGCTGATCTGGATGAGGGTGAACAAATGCATCTTGTAAGTTTGCACTCGGCGCACGTAGTTGGCGGTGCCATGATGCTTCACCGGCATGAAGAACAGCTTGACACGGTCGAACATCTGTACGCCGTTGGTTGACGACACACCCATGTAGAGGAAAACTCCGAGAAGTACTGACATCGGAACTCGACGTAATAGTGGTGCCATTAGCACGCTCACTCCGATAAGAATAGCCACAAGGAGCGAAGATACACGTTGCTCTTTCACTTCGACGATGTGTGGTTTGTCACCGGGTGCGTGAGTACGCGACATCACTGTCACCGCATTCACGTGAGTGAGCGAACGCACCGAAGCGGCACAACACCATGGTGCACCGATTAGACCACAGCCGAAGTTCATGAGACACACCACGACTATGTCCATGTGGTAGCCATTGCCTTTGCGCAGCTTGCGCTCTTTTTTGTCGATGATTAATCTATTGAAAACGTTCAATTTTTAAAATGGATTTAAAATAAAAATGACGTGTTCTAATGAAATCTGATATTTGCTATTATTTGTACATAACGATACATCACTATCAATGTTAAAAAAAAGTTGAAGTAAAATATTTCCTTCAATCGATTAAATTGATTATCCACAAATTACTTTTAAAAATAGTGAAACTCACTCAGAAATCTGTGTCTCCATGAAAACAAGAATATAAACCAAAAGAGCAGGTATACAGCAAGCCAGCATCATCCAAGTCGGAACATTACTGGAAGGGATAACCAGCCAACCCCTGCCGGGCATCGTAGGCGTCATACCCTCCGGCACCAGCAACTTCTCCGTCTTGACACTTGCTAGAAAGTCGATTAGCACAAAAGTGACGATACTGATGGGCACGCCAAAGTCGCCGAAAGCTCTGCGTGCACTACGTCCCAAGTAATGGCTATTGCGAAAAATTCTCAGATAGTAAGCGCCGAGGAAGGTGCCCAGGCAAAGAATCGTGCACATCAGAGCGGTATTAGGCTGATTGATCAGAGATCCAGTTTTGTCGTGGCTTGGGATGAAAATACTGTAGTTCGCTTGGCTATGGTTCTCCGATGCTGCAGCAATCGCCAATTCGCTTAGTCGCGTGAATTCAGAGTAATTTGAGATTGCTGGTGCTATCAAATCTTGTTGATATGCTGTCTCGTTATTGTCGGTATTGAAAAAACCAAAACAATAGTCGGGTAATAACGGATTCAGTTTGAAGTAATTAATGAGCTTCATGAAGGTCTCTACGATGTAGAGAATTGAGATCAGTCCAGTAAAGATCTCTTCGGAGAAACGAGTGAAGAGTCTTACCTAAGAAGAAAAGTAAGCATTTCAATTTCAATTCATCATTCGCTGATTGTATTCAACAGACTGTGATACCCACCAGTACCGAGCCCTCAACGCAAGCAATAGTCAAAGCAATGATAGCCATCCATGCACCGACATATACTCTCATAGTAAGGAACTCGAGATCATTGGCCTGACAAAAGTGATACAAACTCTCATCAAATAACAACAGTGGGCCAGTGGTGCCAATAATGACGAGAGGCTGAGTTGCAAACAAAGCCATGATGACACCAGTTAGACAACATGAGACGAGAGTTTCGGAGATGCCAATAATGTTGTGTGTTTTGTCGCTGAGTAGACCACCAAATGTGATGGCCGTGCACAAGGCGGCGAAATACATGAAAATCGCAGCAGCGAGGCAAGACGAGTTCAGGCCATCGGTGAAATCGGACAAGTAGAAGGGATAGCGTCGTTTGATGTCATTGATAAGACCGCCAAAGGGTCGTTTGGTGCGACGCAACGGATCGCTGTCGTCAGGTGGCTTCTTCTCGTCCTCACCAGCAAGCAACGCTGTATGTACATATATGTAAGTGGTATATTAATTTGCATGATTATAGATGTGGATACCATCGCTGTGCGCGCGCTTTGAACGCATGATGTATTTGCCCGTGGGCTCTGGCTGAATGAGCAAACGTTCACGGCCAATTTCAACGTTCCACAAGTATTCATCAATTCATCGGGGCGATTACACGTATAAATGGTTGTCGTTTATTAGTTGAACTTAAAACAACGTGCAATATGTATTTAGAATTGTTTTAAATGATCAGCTTTTATTTAATTGTCTAAGGAATGAATAATTTCTTTTCATTCACAATATACCAAATTTTAAAGTTAATATTTTACATTTAAAGATAATAGTCTTGAGTAAATATTCGGGTTTGAAGGCTTCATTAAACTGTTTTACATAGCAATTTAAAGTAAATTGCCTTTACGTGAACTGAACGACTGTAACCCTGTCTCCAAAAAACAAATTAAAAAAAAACAAATAAATAGGAAAAACAATAAAATATCGACAAGTAAGAAGGTAATTCTAATTGAGAGAGCATTTAATCTAGTAGAGCAAAGTGGCGAGGCACTCTTAACAAAGTCATTTAATTTCTCAATTAGCTCGTGCAAACTGTGCGGTGCCGACAGTGGAGGGGGAGGGGGGGCTAGAGTATGATAATAGCCGCACATCGATCGGGCTGCAGCAGCTGCTGCCGCCGCCACCACGGCTGTTTCCACAGTACACAAGGAAGTGCTACAACAAACCTTTCTTGGCAGCAGCAGACTCGCTCTGTATCTGCGTCTGCTGTTTCTCCTCCAAAGCCTTGGCCTTGCGTTTCCTGATGTGCTCGCTCTTGGCCTTGAGCTCTTCGAAGGGTAGCAATGCTTGACGCTCCCAATCGCCTGGAGGCAATACGATCGAGTCGTCTAAGAACTCGTTGATCGCCGATAGTAACTCACGACGCTCATTTGCCTTGTAGGCTATTTGATGGAACGATCTATTTGACATCAACGTGGAGATCGAGCGACCTATCTCGTGATAGTCGAGCTCCGATTCACGTGGACCAAGTAGGGTGAAGAGAAATCGGACCGGGATTGTTACCTCGGTGATTGCGGGTATTGGGATACCTGAAAACAATTCGCATTGAAAATAACGTTCCTATTTTGTTATGGTTTTGAATAAATCAGGTTTCATATTACCTTCGGCCAATCGTACAAAGGCTATGGTAGGTTGGTCAAGGAAATCAACGGCGCCAACGAGTACGACAGTGGCCTCGGCACCACTAGGTATCCTCTTCAGAATGTGTTCGTTGTGACCCTTCTTCATATCCTCGCTACTGCTAGTAAATGTGAGCTCCTCCTTCATATCGACCACGGTATGATTGCTCTCGAGATTCTGATGCGACGACACGACTTTTGGCTTGGAGTCTTGCAGATTCTGCGAAATATATATGTCGTTCGTTTTTATTTTAGATACATTTCACTTTAATAACGATACTGATTTGTTCATTTGGTGATGATTAACAGTGTAAAAGATACTTTGATTAAAAAAATCCTAGATGTCTGGATTCAATGCTCGTGAGGTTTGTTTGGTCCATTCAATGAAAGACACACGTTTCAATAAATCTAAAATGTCTAATTGATTATGCTATTGTACTTCGTGGTTTTATTATGTCCGTGAACGAATATTGATATAAGGTTGTAAAAAATGTAAAACAATTCACAGCACAATTAAATGTTCGAATCTCATTGCGTGAGCATTTTCAATTGTGTGTTAAATTGTACATACAATGAAGATAAACGCACAAATAAAAAACAGCGTATCTGGCAGAAACATAAAAATTAATGTCTAGCCATGATTTCAGTAAGTACATATGATAATGAAAAAAATGTAATTTGATATAAAACTTTTCTTTGAAATCACTTTCCAAATATATGTTTACTATACAATGAAAACAACTTTGTTTTACAATCAGAATAAAGAGAGTAGAGTTAGCATTATAAACAATATAAGAAAGGGGAAAAAATACAATGAAATTCGAATGCAACGTGATCGGTTATTAAAAATTATGAGGCTTGAAAAGCCGAAAAAAGAGACTTGACTGGTCATTCAAAATGCTCATGTATAATATTTAATAATGTTGTCTTGCTGATAACATTATGACTTATAATCATCAGCTTTATTGATCAGAGATCGAAAGAAACATACAGGATAGTGTATGAAAGTAATGATCAAACATAACAGAAAGGAAAAAATCTCATAAGCGACTCTTGTAATGGTGCTGACGAACGAGAGACAATGAAAAGAATTCAACGCACTTGCCATGATTTTTGTGTGAATTTACAGAAAGCTTTTCAGCATCGGTTTAAAATCTTATAATTGAATTCGTGCGAAATCACAATTTATTTGGCTGTAATAATGCAAATATAATATATTGTATTGCGAATTAATTGAAATACTCAATTAAATTGCATAGCATACAACGTGTTGTTTTTTAATAATCATTATTTTCAGAGAAACATACTTATTATAATCCCCATTACATAAAATTTAAATAAAAATCTCGGAGTTAAATTTGCTTGATTTACTGTGAAATTGTAAATTGTGTCGGTTGAACCGCTACCTGCAGCTAATTAACATTAAACGAATCCAAAAAGTCTGTCGTCAAAGTCCATTTGTTCTACAAAAAACGAAATTGTCTTTTCAGAGCAACATTTTATGATTGCACATCGATGCAAAAATGAACTCATGTATTATCTCAACCAAGACTCAGCTGTAAATTCACATAATATAATTTATACCGTATTTACGGCGTATAAGTGAAGATCAATGAGGTCGACAAGGGTACCGAGAAAAAAAGGGATGAAGCTATATATACGGGTTTAGCGATGAATAAGAATCGAGAGTCTTGATACACAACTTGTGAGAGGAGATTTTAAGGGGGGTGGAGAGTAACGAAAGTGACTTGGTAACTTTTAATTACATTGTTCTCAGCACCTTCCCGCGAAGCGTCATCCTCGTCAAACCAGATAGACTGTGGAAATAAGACAGGAGAGTACTGTCAGTCAGTCATTCGAATTCGTTGTTTTTTTTTCTTTTGTTTTTGGTATTTGTTTGTTCATAAAAATAAATCGCTAACTAAAAGCTACTTTTATCCTTACATTCACAGTCAGTGTTTTCTTTTTCATACTCTTTTGATTCTCGTCGATTCACTGTAATCTATGGTTATAACTATTTAATGTAATAACAAGAAGTTATTTGTTACAGTCGGTGTTTCAAAGGAATTTTTTTTTAATTAATTGAATTATCACTATCGTCAATTTGCGACCCACTTTCTCTACAGTTTTGAAGTTGTGCAGATTCAACTGGCAAATGTTATAACAATTGGTTTTTCCAAAACATTTATCTATTAAGAAGATTTAGATATAATTTCAAGTGTGATTTCATGGAGCTATGTTTTATAAGTCTACTAAATGTAGAAGTAAATATAAACGAACTATTAACGTGATATTTGCTACTCTATAAAGTGGTTGAATTGGTTCTACGGTTCAATCAATACTTGAAATTCACTTACACTCAAACGCTTTTCAAGAAGCTACGTCGTTCAGTAAGAAAGAAAAATATTGAGAAAATATATAAATAATTTTCAATGATATATTTGTGAAAAATAACTCAATACTCTTTTATAACATGTGATTGTTTCAACAGTCATTAAAATTGTAATCGGCACTTCCGATCGTTCACTTCTGACTTTTACTTTCAATAGAAGAACTTAAGATTTACAAATGACGCCGGGTAATCAATCAAAAACGTCATTTCTTACCTGAAGACTGGTGTAGCTGGAAGCATTTCTCTTGGGACCGAACCTGAAACCACGTTCATGTTCGTGCACATGCCTATGCCTGAGCAACAGAGCTCTCATAATAACGGGCCGATCTTCCGGTAGGATAAGTTCCTCGATGACCATTTGCTCGACGACACGATAAGAGAGGCCGGGTAAATCTTTCTCCTCGAGATCGAGCAACACCACCCCGGTCTCGAGGCAGCGCCGAAGGTTCAGCAGCGAGTGGAAGCTCAGTGAGGCCACGTGCGGCCGGCCCCATCTACACCAGTTATAACAAGCAAGTTTTGTTGCAGTTCAGCGCCATCGAGTGAGTGAAACATTGAGTGCTTTTCTATTCTCGTGCCTATATATATGCGCGCGCTCTCGAGACTTTTTGTTTATCGATCGGATGTACGTTGAAAATAATGCGAAATTTATTTCTTAACGCATTATCGAAAGAATTGTCCATTCTTCCCTTCGATATCTCAATTTGTCATTGCTTTCAAGGCAAGACGTTTCATTTCTTATCTAAAGTTTTTGTTGATTTCAATTATGCAAATGTTTATGGATGCACGTATAACGAGAAGGACAAAAAATCAAAGAACCTATGAATAGAATGTGAGCTTGTATATAGAGGAGATTGTCGTGCAAGTATCGTTCTGTTATTTACAGAGAAAATCGATGCAATCTAAGGTAATATTCGTTATTCCAGTATGATAATATAGCTACATTACGAAAATATACGTCAATACCTTAGCTACACCAATAAAAATGCTATTTTGAAACGTTGATCTAGATTTGTGCTCGGACAAAAAAACTTTTGATGATAGATGGAGGTTTACAAGCCAAAAGTGAACCACCAATCTCTCTGAAAGCATCTCGTGCTATTTCTCACTCCTTGAAAATTGAATGAAATATCATCTACGTTTCGAGATTGCCATTTATATGGAGTATAGCGGTCGTTTTCATCGTTCAATTAACTTTGAATTGATTCTCTTTCACACTTCGCTGAGATAGATATTGCGAAGACAAATGACTTCCACGAATCAGTTTTCACAGTTCAAAAAAAAAAAAAAAAATAAAGTAAAAGTAATTAGCTTTTTTATATTGTGCAATATAAAATTGAATCTTGTAAGATGGAGACAGTGACGAAGAATCGAGTTACATTGCGTAAATTACTTATAATTTTAAGTCGCTGACTAGCATTTCATTACAGAAGTATTTTCAGATTTTGTTTTCTTTTGGCACAATGAACGCAAGAACGACGCTATTTTCATATTGAGTCGTATTCTCCTAAAATACCGTTACTTCGAGAGAAGCGAAAGATTGTCGAGCAACCGCATTACTCGTGAATTGCCGGTGCGTAAACGAGTTTCTCGATCAAATGCCAGTCACCTGTCAGCGCCTTCCTCGACGTCCTCCTCGTACTTGATCCACCTGGCTGTTTCCCGCCACTCGCGATCCTCGCCATAGCCGTGCAACTCGTCGAGCTGGACGAACACCTCGTGTGGCGAGTGATCGTACATCTTTTTGAATGTCTCATGGGGTATGCCGCCTTCCTTTCGGCGACCGATTTGCACGGTCGGGTGGGCGGCCTTGTGTCGGCGCATACCCCGCTGATCGTCGCTGCGGTGAGATTCCAAGTCGTCGATATCCAGCTCCTGCAAGTGCTTCGCCTCGTCCGGCTGTACGCTCACGCGACGTTGCGTACTTATGCCGCCTGGCGTGCCAGGCTCTCCCGGCAATCCAGCCCCTGAACGTTTGCGCCATTGGGGATCCTCTTGCAGAGAGTACTTGCGCGATTTGTGGTGATGATGGTGGTGGTGCCGCCTGAGAATCACCAAAACATTTATCGAACTTAAGTATTTATCCTTTATCAATACATTGCAACCGAAAGATTCCTAATAAGAAAGTTTTCTGAGATCGCGACTGATCATTCTGATTCTCAAACCAATTTGTTCGCCTTCGAAAGTTTATAAACTGCTTATTAATAAGTATCACTAGAAAGCATCGACAATAAAATCTGTCTAGAGCTGAAAAAAACATGGTTTTTAACATAAAGTCGAACTTTGTTTCCAGTTTCGATTTTGATTAGAATTTCAATCTTATTTTGACCGCCACATTTTCGAACAACTATTCTGTTGCAACAAGTCTATCAGCGTTTATCGAAATTCCGTCATTATTATTTGTATACATATTGAATTCAACGAGGGTCAGAATTACCAGAATTTTCACATGTTCCAACTTAAAATTGATGGAGTCAGAAATTCGACATGTTAAAAAAAGATAAAATTAAGTTGAAAGTTAGCTATGCCCAGCCACATTTTAACGAAATTTGCATTGATTTGGAAGTTTTGTACGTTCAATATATATTTAACAGTTAGTGATTAGTTTCTTTGGATCAAATTAAAAATGTTTGATCGTCTTTGCCAAAAGTATGCTTATACATGCGTCGGCAATTCTAAACGTAACTTAGAAATCGTGTTCTTTTTTTAAATGGAATATATAGAATTGATAATTCTCGATATCAATTAAATACTCATAAACATTTAAAAGGTATTGAAGTTATATTATTTTTATAAAAATACATTTAATATAATGATGAATTTCAAATTGTAAATAACTGGCGGCAAGAAACAATTTAAGTAAATGTAAATGATTATGTAATATTATTAATTCTATATAAAATATACTTTTACGTATCATAGTAAACTTACGAAATTTAATATATTTATAATTTATAAACACATTGCGACAAATAATTGGAATGCATTCTAATTATGTAATTTGTAACGTTTCCCGAGGTTCGCGCGAATGACGAAGAAATGTAGAAATAAACGGGGAGTTGCTTTGAAAAAAAGCAATCAATCCGCGTAAAACAAAACGAATTTAAAGGGCACAAGGAGCAATCGCTCGTGAAAAGCCAGTAATTCATCCGGGGCGTGTACGTGTAAAAGCTCGAGGCTCTTCCGGCGCTCAACATCCATTACAATCAAGACTCGAAGCTACGTTGGCAAGCGGCACAGACGCGCGAGAGACGAATTGGCAGCGAGCTTTTTGTCACGATCAAGCGCTAGTCCGAGGTTAAGTCTCTGCCCGCACACCTGCTGAGATTTCCCTTGGCCTTTGTAGAAATTTTCGATTTATGAGTGGATTTTTTCCTCGAAACCTACTTATTTCGGCAAATTATGTAATATACGTAATTATTGCTGATCGATTGGTTTAGCATTACTAATGAATGTTCGAATGGACGTATTAGCAAGTATCAACGGTCAATGTCACTTTAGCCGCACGTGACTTATAGTTATTTCACGAATCGCCAAACACTGTTTTCAAGTTTTCTTTCGCTTTTACGACGTGATACAGTGATCGATCGCGCAACTGGTTCGAGTTCAAGACTTATATCGATATTAAAAAATACAATCGACAGTTTGAACAAATAAAATTATGATAGTAATTCTTCTTGCTATTTCCAACTTGACCCACAGTTCAACCGAGCTAAGCAAACCCTACCACTTGCGTGTCACAAGTCGTGGGCGTCGAACAACCTTGATTGCACGTCAAATGCAGCAGCAGCAGCAACAAACGCCAATCAATTTTCAAAACTTGACGAGGAAATCGCTCAACATCACCACAATACGATAAGTACACTTATGCGCACACACACACACACACATACACGCACGCACGCAGAGAACGTACTCGAGTCGGCGGCGGTAAATGTCGCCGATGCGATCGATGGGCATGCTGAGCCGGTTCAACGTGCATAACGCGCACACGACAATAACGACGACTCCCAAGAAGTTTAGTTGCCGACGAAACTCGAAAGTAACTATAACTGCCAACGTTGGCAACCGTTTCGCTAAGCTATTCTCATCGGTCGGCTTAAGCTTCGTCGATCCGATCCCCTCGCTCTTACTTTGCACGCCATTCGATTCATTCATTCACACCGCGGGTGGTTCTTTGAGCTTTAAGTCTCGATAGGATGACAAGTAACGGGATTTTTTCTTTTGTTTTTCTGGTACCATTGTGTCGTCATTCAAAACTATTTGTAATTCTACGGATCAAACGAATCGAGAGTGCAATTTGACAAGGTTTTTTGTTGTTCTTAGAGTGAAAAAGTAATTTTAGTTACAGCAGTAGCGTATTATTATTTTTCAAGTAAAGGATTGAAAATAGAGTAAAGCTTCTCTATTGATTGTCGATGCACATTTTTACTTTAATGTTACGTTATTCTTTCATTTTGAAAGCTTCTTAAAGCAAAAGTTAATTATTCCGAATGAACAGTGTAACGCGCTCTGGAGAACAAAACATTTTTCACTCGTTGCGCGGAGAAATTTAATTTACCGGGAGTTCAGCGTAAGCCGAAACCTTCATAATTCAGCGTCAAACTCGGACGTGACACCGATCGCACATCTTTCATGCAAAAAGATCTACAAGACAGGCGTTTCCGTCTCGCGTTCCGGAATCGACCCAATCACACAAAGATTTCGCTTTGAAGGACGATGACTGCAACTTCATCGAGACTGAGTTGCTCAGCGCGACGCTCTTTTGTTCGCTTACTTCGACTCGATTAGCGCGAAATCCAATTGCGGTACGTACGTTTCCTCGTTAAGGCGTGTAACGTATACGATGGCACCTTCAACTTATTTGCTTTTTCGAACGTGCAACATAAGATACTTGGCGTGCGCCGCGAGAAGAGGAGGTAGAAAAACGCTTTCATTGGCCGCGCGTAGGGCTACAGGAGTTATAATTTGCTTTGATGTTGCGTCGTGCGCGCGCGAGGCTCGTCGAAAGAAATGCAATTTCTGAAGTCTGCGGTGGAAAGCAAAGCGCGCCGTGCCGAGCTCTGACCTCTGCGCCCGAGGCTGCCGCAGGATGATTTTTTCATCAAAGAGTACATTCGATGCCGGCTCGAAAATGCTATAGTATTCTCGCAGCTGACGGCTTCTCTTTGGTCTGCGTCCGCTTACGAGCGATCGATAATAATTTTTCGACAAAGCTCCAACGTGGAATTAGTTTTAGGACTGACTTGTGGTCGTGCTTGTGATGACGCCGTGTCTTTCGGTCTTCCTCGGGAGTCTCGTTGACGTTCATCACGTTGCCGTCCTCTTCGCGAATCTTGTCGAATTGCACACGAGGACTACCGGCGCTTGGACTGTCGCTGAAGCCGGATGCCGCTCTCTCGGATAGCGGCGCCTCGCTCTCGCTGCTAACCACGTTTTCGGCGATATCCTCCAATGTTTCCGTAACGTCGTCGTCCTATTGGAAGCACTCATGCGTGACAATTGAATGGCAATACAAAATTAACAACGATAGGCGCGCGCATACTTTGCCATCATCGGATTCTCCTTGACAATCCGCGGGAAGTTTCGTGCTGCCGTCTGGTTCAACGTGATCCAATGTGTCTTCCACCACTGGGACATTGCCGTTACCTGTGGTACCGTTTGCTGGCGCCTCTTCGTCCAAATTATTTTCGGCACTTAGAGAACCTTCGCTGAAACACATTCATTACAGTTATACTTTCCATCTTGCAATAATCGATGTTCTAAATTAATGAAAACAGTTGCGTCACTTGAAAAACCTTTTGGTTACGCAATCCTTATAATTAGACCGTAATGAAGCTAGTGGGAAGAAAAAAGAAATCTTTACCCCTTGAGCATTTTTTTTTCATCACAGTCGAGAGCGCCAATAAACGTGTCTAGTTAAAAGAACAGCACAAATCGCAATTGGCAATCCAGATAGATGCAAAGTCTTGCATCATTTTTCTTCGATTATTTGCATGCGATTATACGATTGTTTTCGTCGCCGAGTAGAAATAAAAAACAAAACATAAGAAAACAAAAGAAAACAAAACGAAAGGAAGCGTCATGAGCGTCAAGGAGAAAAATGCAAGAGAGAGGAGGGGGGGGGGGGGGAAAGCTCCGGTCCTCCGAGGTCGTACCAATCTCCGCGGCATATATATTCCTTCGTCTACCTCTCCGGATCGAGAAGTCATTAAGTTGCTGTAAAAACGAACAAATTTTGCGCGCATCGCATGCACACCGCAGCTAGGTGGTATACGCTTGTTCACGGCAACTTCGTTTTTTACAGTGAGAACGAGAGCTCGGATGCTTCAACAAACAACTCCATTAGTAGCTGAGGCTCGCGAGACTTTCCTGAAGAGAATAACGCCACTTGTTGTTGTTTTTTCTTTTCGCGATCGTGACGTGCATAAAATAGGACTGTTCACGAAACTTTTTCAATTCCAGAAAACGAGAGTTGATAAAGTCGCTTGTTTCGAAGAATGTTTTAGTCTTTTAAAAACACGACTTATCCTTTCAATATTTCTATTCTCCCTAAAGTAAATCATATTCATTATGTTTTTCAATTAGTCTATAGACGATGAATCCCCAAGAAAAAGTCTTTTTAAATTATTTATCTGACAATTGACTCTTGTAAATAATGTACTGCGTCTAAATTATTCACAAACCACGATGGTAATTCAAGTTAAAATAACGATGAGCTCAAATAGTTTATAGATCAAGACAATTCAACAAATTAGCAACTACTCTGGAAAATCAATTTTCAATTAAGCGTGATACTCTAAACTCGAATAAATCAACGAAAAAAAAATTATACTTTCTTCTCGCCTTTCCGATAAATCATTATTTCACAGGTAACCGCTACAGCTGCCGATTTGCCTAATGCACACATAAAACACTACGAGTGAAAAATATTTTCTCAAGGCTCCGTGGCGTCGGACGCCACGCTTGACTTCTACTACTTGCTCGCTCGCTCGCTTTGCAGCTTCTTCCTTCATTACATTGTAAAACACGATTGCTACTTTCCAGACACTTACAGTTGAATTCTAAATTGTTAGAAAAATTTATCGTCAAACTATTTGCTTTGTGAAAGCGGATTCAAGATTTTATTTTTACAAATAAATTTTATAAATAAATGAAAAAGTACGTATGCTAATAGTGTGATTACAGTAAAATGGGTTTTAATAAAATATGATTATTATAAATCTAAATGATTGAAAAAGACGCGTAAAACATTAATATTGTTGACGTAGAACGTTAACACTTAATAGCTGCAGTTTACTGCAAAAGCATTCAATGTCGACCGTAAATAATTAATGATGTAGCTCAGTCATAGTTTGTAGATTCCTAAGTACAGTACCACTTTTTTGTTTAGAATAAAACACGCTCTTTTCGAAACATAAATTTTTTTAACCTTTCAATCTTTTTAACCAATTAGTTTATTTAATACAAATCACTTGGCTTTTGTTTAATAAAATAATTGTTCGAAACGATCAGAAAGTTTAGGAAAATTCATTTTTCGAAAAACCTGTGTTCACTCTAAATTTTAATAAACGCGGGCATCTCGAAAAATAACAATCTTTAATTGTAACAATGTTCAACGTGAGTTGAATAATCATTAATGTCATTCATAGCTGGTTATTGACGTGCAAGTAGCGCAAAATTACCAACATTACGATACCTCATTGTAATTTCTACGCGTATTCTCTAATCTTCGACTCATTTCTTTAATCCATCAAGTTTGTAGCCAATGTCTCGTCGGCAAAGAATTGCAATTAAGGTGGACATAAGCGATTGTTATAAGCGCGCAACTTACTTGATCCATTAGCCCTTGTTACGCGCAGTATTATAAGATTAAAAAAGCTTATGATCTCTTACTCTTATCAAGTGTAAAAACAATTGAGCGAAGAGAAAATGCCAAGACAATCTAGAAATGACCCGGTTTCGTCACAGTAGAAACGTAGTTTCCATTTTTTGTCTTCTCTCTTCGCTGTGGATTTCCGGCTTTATTGGCTTTACGCTTGGTAAACAATCAAATACACGCGAAATTTTTTTTTTCACTGTGTGCTGTATTTTCTCTCTCTCTCTCTCTCTCTCTCTCTCTCTCTCTCTCTCTCTCTCTCTTTCTGTCTCTTCCGTAGGATGAGCCCGTGCCGAAAGTCAACTGAACGAAAATAATGCATGCGGTTAGACATTCTCTGAATTCTTTTGTATCGACGTAAATTGACTTTGAAAAATGGTGCTCCCCCCATCCTCCCATGCGTAAGCTACATGTAGTATACACTAATGGAGATATTGATCTTTGGATCAAGGACTCACGGTGATAAATGTCGTCGCATAGATCTCGAGTGAAGACTCTTCAGTGGCATGTGCGGGTGTGGGTAGCTCTTCTTTCGATGTTCTGCAACATTAAAATTGAGACAGTGCTCTTATTAAGATGCTTTTAGACATTTGTCAATGTATGTTTGTTTCCTACATCAACGTGTTGCCGCACTGATGCTCGCACTTATTTTCTGTCTTGGATTTCATAGACATCGCGGTCAACTTTTTAATTTAGTAAACCGAGGAAAATGTAAAGAAATGTTCTGTACTTCGTATAAAATGTACTATGTAAGATAGTAAAACCTGGGCATACTCGGGCTATAATAAAAATTGCTGTGTTATATCGTAAAATTTGCCGTTCAGAGTAAATTTTACAGTTCCGAGAAAGAAAGAATTTTCAGATTTCTTGTGCCATCCTACTTCATCATTACTTTCGATTGTGCGCCAATTCGTATGCTTTTTACTACATATACGATGACGAAATTTTTTTGATCCTATCTTCCTATTCGCCGGATTTAACTAACACTTGAGATCGTTTTCGCTTGTGCATGCCCTGTTAAAACATTATCTCTTGAAAAATTGTTTTTTTCTTATACGCCGTACGGTTACTACCGCTCTCAAGCTACGGAATCGCGATACTATCAATGGATTGAAGACAGAATAATTTTTATATGGTACAAATTGCTACAAGCTGCAGTGACTTTTACTCGAATCATGATAATTATTATTACTCATGTAATCATTTTAGCTGAAATATACAATTCTTATTATGTACCCATATTACCAAAGTACTATAGAAATTTTTTATCGTTGCTTTATAATAATTTGTACAAAACACATAATAATGATGAGAAAATATAGCATTATCTATTGTAACTCGAGTGTGTCCCCATTTTATCGTGTAAATTTTGCTGCGCTTGTAAATTTTATGATATCATTTCTCTCAGTAGAAGAAAGATTAGGAAAAATAGAACAGCGCGCATCAACAAGGGAAGATAAAAATCTTCAAACGGGCCTCAAAGTTTTTCTGCAAAAGGTACACTTGAATTTGTAAAATAATATTTATCTGACAAACAGCTTTAAGATTTTAGCAAAGAAAAATACTTTTCTGTTCATTCAAAAAATTTCTGCAGGTATTTGACTCTCAAAAATCCAATATTAAACAATCTCCATGATAGTATTCATAAGAAAAAAAGCAAAGAACCATATAAATGTACAAGTAATGACACATTGAAACGCTCATCGGAAATGATAGACGAGAATCACGCGTGTCGCTAAGCTACAGTAATAGAATTCATTCGCAAGCTAACCGTTTGTTGTGTCGTAATTTCAGTGACGGTGCCAAGATTATTGCACTGGGTATATACTTATTAGCTTTTATATAGAATAAGAGGCTCCGCAAAGCCAACTAAAATGCGCGAGTGACAGATGTTGCAGAGCGTTTTTGTGCTGTCATCTATATTTATATCCGACTGGTGGTCAACGAGCGTCAAATTATATTCCTCGAGTTGTAGTCAGAAACTTTTTTGATTTACGTAATACGCGAACCTCTTGCCAAAACTCTGTTTTATGATTTATCGAAAGGACACTTGTAGTGAATCTTTATTAAAGGTTGATGTGTAGAATGGAAACGAATGGAAATATGCATTTGATACTCGCGTTTATTTGACCGCAAAACTTTTATTCGAGATAAAGACAAAATACTATTGATTTTTTTTATTTTGCTCAAATAACTAACGATCAATTTAGCTGTTAAAATTTTTTATAAAACATTGCCAATAAACGATACGCTCTGCGCTTATAATCGAAATTGTGGTTGATTGACCTAGACTTGAATCCGAAATACGTAATTAACTTTATGATTTTCAAATGCAAAGTTTTATCGACTCAGCTTAAGAAAAATACGATAGTATATCGTCGCTAAAAATGCATCATTACCCAATGGCAGAGAGCAATTAAAATTTGTCCCAACCGAAAACACAAAGTCATTGGTCCCGTTAAAAACTACGTTGGTGAAGGCAAAGGTGAGCCAACAAGTGTTAAAACTGAAAATCCTGAAGATGATTAATGTAGGTGCGAGACTTACGGTCGAGGTTACGGTCGCCATAGCGCCAACTAAGAACAGGTGGCCGATCACGGTCGCGATCCGAGCCAATGGATTCCGAAGGTGAACCGAGCCGGGCTACGTCGAACTTGTCCCCGGCGTCCATCGCGAACACCTTCTCCATCTCCTCGTCCAGCTCTTGTACCGTTTGCGAACCATGACTGTAGCTCTGTAAAACATTAGAAAGACATCCGCATTAGCATTTTCGCATTCACATATTAATCGAGTTTCGTTTTCTCTGACGACTTAAAAGTGTAAGCAAATTTCATTTTCCAAATGAAGTTGTTCCTTGAAATGCAGATATATCAGTATACATGTTTCACGTCCTATCGGCTTGTCAGGGTTCGACCATCAATATATGTCTGACTCAAGACAGAATAGAGTGGCAATTGAACGTAAACTGACATAAAGGCCTTGATAAGAGCTTCGGAGGAGAGTTTTCAAGCGCGGAGACTATTGGAAAATTCACTTCACTGTTATGGTATTCGCTATCCCGTATACGCGCCTTTCTCCCATTATTTAAACTTATCGGAGAATCTTTGTATTGTTGAATTTCTGCTGTATTTTTCTATAGTGTTTGTAAAAAAAGAGGAATTATTTCTTCAAGAGGAAAAATACTTCAGTACGTAACATTAGAGCATCGGCCAATCAATGATCAATATATTTCTGGTCAATGCACGATTTATTCATAATGAATATAAGGATATATACGCGCATCATCTATCGCAACGATATGTATTTAGAGACAACTGTCTCATAAAACGTAAAATCCGAGTTATCTCTTTCCACTGAAGTCACAAAAATCATTTTAGTTAAGTACACCAGAGCTTTTAATTAATTTTACGTGACCTTGACAATAATAAGTTGAATTTCAACGAAATGAAATTTTTAATCAAAGTCATCGAGCATCGGGCATACTTCATTTATGTGACTTTTGCTCGACGCATAATGAAAAGAAGCGCAAGCGAAAGCAATATACGAGGCGCGGGTAGTGAAAGAGAAAAAAGCGCTACGAAAGAAAAAATAAAAAGAAAAATAGTTGCAACGGTATTTTGCGCGCGCAGCTGCAAGCTGCTCGGTCGATGAGCAATAACCTTGAACTTGAGCTTTCACCACCACCCACCCAACCATCCCAGCCCCTCGAAAACCTCGACCCCCCTTCCACATACACATACACACACACACACACAGACACACACACACTCCCGCGTGCTGTTTTTTGTTTCTTCATCCCTCGGGCGATCTTTGACGCGTCTTGCCTCGACGCGCTCTGCACTGCATGTATATAACTTTTTTTTCGTTCAGGTGTTTGCTAGTGGGCACTTACTCTCGAGGGGGCAAAAAAAAACGCTTGTTGTCAGTACGCTAATTGCTGTTGGAACGTACGTGTGGGTGTACATTTAGAGCGGAGTTTTCTGTTTCAGCAAAGTTGCTGTGTACTTTGTGTCTCTTGATGGAAACTGCTAGCTTGCAAATTTATTTTTAACTTTTTTCTTTCTTTTTATAATTGCGTGCTTTTGGATTTTTGAATTGTTTTGATACTCGATGTGCGGCGAAAATTGTTCAGTGATTTATTGAGATATTATATGGCAACTTTAGCGCACGAACAATCGTGTTTAATGAAAGAATTAATGCCAAAAAGAGAACATCGTAAATTTATGCATGGAATAATTTATGTTCTAATTAATGCGCCGTCTGATATTTGATATAATTTTATTACAGATTGTTTTTTTTCCGGAGAAAGAGAATAAATTCCATTTCATATACGATAAGTAGACCTAAAAAAATGTAGATGAAAGTGCTTTCCGAGAACGAAAAGCTCTTGCAATTAGTATGGAAATATCTACGCAAGAGAAAAGTTTTGACGACAAAGTGACTAAGTTAAATTTCGAAAATGGATCGAGTACATTCCGAGAAAACGCCTTCAATATCATGAAACAGCATGAAATCTCAATAACCGACGACAATTTGCTGGCATTTGACAATCACGAAAAGCAAATTCCATTATTAGGTGCTAAAATAGCCCTTAACATTCTATCATTGGTGACGTCAAGCACTTATGGAAATATAGTGCTGACACATGTCTCTGTCAACATATCAGCAGTGCAACTTTATTGACTATTAATAGAACTTTGCAATTTACCAAGTAGTTCGATTAAATATTACCTTAGTTATGAATTGAATATGTTGCATGCAACGAAACAATGCCTACCTTAATTAAAGGGAATGTCAAGTTATAGCAGTTTACTCCATTTTATCATTTGCTGTAGTAGATGCACTCAAGGAAGTTTCGCACGAGCGATATATTTTTCCTTTCCATCGCCTCGCCAAACGCGTGTAATGCATGTGACCTTTTTTTCAAATTTTTAATGACGTTCTACAATTGTCAAGCGTATATTTATCACACGACGGTATTCGTAAGATTTACCACTTATACAAGATCTCTCATGGCTAGATATTGCACTCATTTCGCATGCACCTTTTTTCATTCGATCAATATACCAAGCGCTCAAAAGCAAGCTTATATGTCCCATTCTCTCTCTCTCTTTGTCTCTTCTGCGGACAGACTTCTTTCACATTCTGAATGCGAATAATCAACGCTACTTGTTTTATTTTATTTTTTACTGCGTAGCATTTTTCGCACGTATTGCTCGAATTACAGAAATTTCCGAGAATAATACTATTGCTATTTTTACTCATTTACGAACAAAAATTATTTAAATATAAGAAAGTTATTTTAATTCATCTTTAATAAGATGTACAAGCAGCAAAATATGTACTGACATTGTCGATCAGACATCAAAATAAATATTAAAACGGTAAAGTTGAAGAGGGAAAAGTTAATTAAAGACGATAAGCGACTAGAAAAGCGAATTATAAGGTATAAATATTTGCTCATTATGCCTCACGTTTATTTTTGAAGTGCACTTTCTTTTCTTCGAGTAGATTCTCTGTTACGTATACGTTCATCATATATTCGAATATTGTAAAATCAGCATAGAACATTTTCGGAAATTCAAATCTTTATTTGAATTTCCACATATTAAAATATTGATAACATTGCTACAGTGAGGAATCTCTTCCAGTTAAATTATAAAAATAAGAGAGAGAGAATGAAAGTCCTGCGTGTGATTTGCAATTCAAAGTCATTCAATTTGCAAGTTAAACGGGCCATTATAAAATCTCGATGAAAGCATTGTCCCTGTAAAAAATAGGTTTATCATCGCAATAATAAATAGAATCCAAAAACATTTTCATTAATATCTAAGCACAAATATTACATTATTCAAAAGCATCACATCCACGCGAATACCTCAAGCTAAAATTCGAATAAAACAGGTCAAATTTGTTATAGTTTGTATGAAAACGTGCAAAAGAGGATATTTCGACAAACCGCACACTTATACGCACGTGGGTGTGCATCGCGTGAGGTAGCAGCAGGAGAGAGCGCGCGAGGGAAGAGGGTTCATCGATTTTCCGAGAGTAAAGTCCATTTCGAGCAGCAAGCAAGCCCAAGGTGACAAGTGCACCGCCGTCGCGCGCGTTACATCCAACAGATTCAAGCCGGGATTTTAAAGATTTATCACATGAGTAAAAGAAATAGATTTTGTTACGGCCAAAGCATAAGTTTATTCCAGGATGTAGAGAGACATATCGACTTTAATCATTTTTTTCTACGTGAATGAGCGAGATGAAATTTTTATGTGGCAGTTTATTGAAAGAAGTTGGCGAATGCTTTTATTTAAAAGATAGTTTATTTTTATGGCGACAGTGGTGGGATGTTGAGTACACGTGGTTGAGGAATATTTTAGGTTATGTGGTTATAGGGAGTCGATGGGTGAGATGGATTTACGGGTTTATGCTCTTGGCGATTTTTGCAGACGAACATATTAAATTTTCTTACAATTTTAAAATTATTCATAAAAAATTAAGTAATTATAATAATAATAATAATGATATTAAACGTAAATCTATTATATAAGAAGTTACAAAATAGCGAGATTGATACACAAAAGTCAATATACCTCATCCCATTCGGAATTATAACTCGTTGCATCAATGACCATTGTGACTTGTTTAAAAATTAATCAGAACTCTTCTTTTCTTTTTTCCATTTCAGTCGATAATTAGCTCCATCTCTCTCATCAGCGAGAGATGTGCCTCGTTTTACACGAGCAGATTGAATTTGAAAATTTGACGTTGATACGTGGGCCCGATCGATAAACGACACGAGAGAGAGAGAGAGAGAGAGAGAGAGAGAAAGAAGTACAAGTCGACGGCAAGTTCACTTAGCGTGGAAATGACGATTATTGTATATGTGTAAATTTGTAGTAGCAAATAACACTCACAGTTCGTCCAACAGCTTATGCGATGTACGAACCTTTCCTACGAAGAAATAATTCCATACACTTTAGTTAAACGTTTTACAATCACTTCACTTGCATTTATCTTTTTAAAAGCTCGATAGAAAGACAGATTTCAAAAAGACAACTTTTAATTCACTAGATAGTTATTTTGCTTGAATTACAGCTGGACTACTATTAATGGTCACTTTTGACGCCAGCACTCGATTGAAAGATAAGGTGTATTATTTGTCAATCAGAACAAAAGAAAGCGAAACAATCAAAGAGCAAATTTGAGGGATTGACGATTGGTACATCGTTCAAGAGTTGTTGAATCAAAAGAAGAAGTATGTCAATTTCGTGAATCAAATGTTGATCGAACTGATGGTGACGTTTGCTATCTAATCACGAATAAAGCGAAAAAAAAATATCCGTGCGAAAGGAAAGAGAGAAGAAAATGGAATTTACAGTGTAAACAGCAGCAGCGGTAGGCAGATAAAATTAGCGTTGTGGATCTGGAGAGAAGACGAGTATGCGTCCGAAAGCCGACGAGAGGCCCGTCGGGCATGGCATCCCGGGCCGGAATGAGCTTTCCAGCGCGAGCTTCAACCGGCTGGAGAGATTCAGTGGGATATGCGCCGGCGCGTCACTGCTGTTGCTGCTCTGCGCGTACTCACAGTGTGTGTGTGTAACGCGACGCCCCGTGCCACGGCCTTCGAGGGAGGCTCCATCAATTACGTACTCCAAGCGAGATCCAGGGAAGAAAGTTTTTGATTTCGGCCTGAAACTAGGTTACACTGCAGGCCCTTATCTCGCGCAGAGAATG